GGCCTCCTTACTGGTCCCAACCTCGTCGCTCCAGATCATCCAGCATTCGCTAGGCAAAGGAGGAGCGGGCCAAGATCAGGTGTGCATGGTAGCTTGCAAGTCTCACTGTATGGAAGCTTGAGACGTTGATTGTCTCTGATATTGTGCGTGACCATCGCTTGCGCCAGGCTAAGTCGGTTTTTGTGCGCGCTCTTGTGCTTCAAACATGCGCGTCATGACTGATTTTCATGTTTCAATATAGGAGCCCATCATCACCCGCCAAACAGCCTTTGGGTGGCCCTTATCGACGGATCGGAGATAAGACCAAAGGGCATTACGACGCGTGCTACATCGGGTTTTCGCCCTCACCGCCTTCAATCCATGGATGGCCGAGTTTCTGGCCTTTTGAAACATTTATCCATTGCGACTATATGCTTGCCTGCGTGATGAGTTTATACCTCCCTATACTACCTCAGAGGATCTTTTGGGATGACTGCCGGAGAATGCCACGGAACAGAAACGACATAGCATGAATCGTGGACGTTGCTTTGCAGAGGCACTGTAAGTGATCTGTTGACGAGCTCATAAGATTGTGAAGTTTACAGTACTGATTGTCTCATATCAAGCGTACCCATAGTGCCCTCTGCGAAGTCTGAATGGTAAACCTCAAAAACTCGTCCAAGTGTAAGTCTTGCTGACTGGGATCCTACATTAAGACGCCACTTGTGTTCTCATCACACGAGTCAAATGCGAAGCAAGCGAAAGCCATGTTTGCTCGAGCTCCCTATACCGATTCGAACGCATGCTATCTATCCGTCCCATTACCCTACTCGCCGCATCGATGATGAGTCGCTGTAAGGAGCAGATCGTGTACCTTGGCCCTTCTCTCAGTCGACCTTGTGCAGTAGGACTTATGCTGATGTGTGTCAGCATATGAATGCAGGGAAAAAAGCCCCTTTGTGGATTGAATTACTGGCGTGGAATGGGTGAATATCTTCGTATCTCCCTTCTTTTCAGTCCTGATGCTCCAAAAGACCCGGGGAACTGGTGTTTATGTCTTTTTTGATGGCAGTTGAGCCATATCTTCACAGACAGCCAGATCGTTCGCCAAGTCTGTGTGCAAGGACAAGGCAAGGCATATGTGCCGTCATTTCGAGCCTACGGATTAACATTGTCATCAGCTATGAACCGAGAAAGGAGACCATCCGGTCCTGATCCACGGTCGAGTCACGGCCGATTTAATTTAAGGGCCAAGGGCCACGAGCCAGCGATCACCGACCGTTGCTGACCTGTCTGACCCAACACCGCATTGCTCAGCTAAAGCGAGTGGGAAAGGACTAATCGGTCATATATGACGCCCCATCGAGCGCGTGCCAAATTCTGTGGTGTCTTTGCAGAAATCATGGTATATTTGATGCTTTCGTACGCTTTTTTCTACCAAATCACCAAATTCCGAGCCACATGCACAAAAGCCATTATCCTGGACAACTTTGCATACAGGTCAGTCAGGTCCAGAGGTCTCATTTTCTCGCTGACGTCGTTTTCTAACACGTAGCACGCAAGCAGACTTTTCCAGGAGATGACCCAGTTCTCTACGTCTTCTACTTTGATTGTCCTTGAACATCAATTATTTGTCAGACACACCGCGTTTGTGATTGGTATATCACTGTTCAAGCACATTCTCTGTGAAGGTGGCATTGATACCCGTCACAAAACCGCCAAGAGCTATTCTCTGCGCGACCTCGGACTATCCATGACAGCCTTTGCTGGAAATTGATACCCTCAATGAGCATTCACCGGTTGCTTTCGGGAGGAAGAGAGACATGTCTGCTGCGGCTCCAAGCCAAGTGGATCAGTCGGTGGAGTCATCTTTACCAGACCTAGGCAAGATGGCGCTTGCTAGACTCAATCGGGCTGATACATATTTTCTTCAAAGTAAGTTATGCTCGATCGCGTGGTCTGGGGTACTACACCCAAAAGGATTGGTCGCCAATTCTAGTGCGGTGTGGTTGTTGCATGGGTGATTGGCTCGCACTATACATTGATGTTACTAGCGGCAATTACGGACAAACGTGCGACGGTTGGCATGTCACAAAGGAGCCGACTGAATAGCTTTGAGTCAGGGCCCTCGATTACTTGGTTGTGTTTGTTGCGAATCCACGTTGTGATTGTAGGCATTCTACGGCATAGTAGGAGTGAGTGACTTGCAAGCCAGCTGAAGCGGCAAATTTGAATGCGCGAGGAACAGTCCATCGCATGACCATGGTTATTCGAGCAGCAAAACCTATTTCGAGCGCTCCTCATCAGAGGGTTCTTTGATGCCTAAAATGTGTGATCGTGGGCGTTTGCCTGATTACAGCTTCACTCATTGCGAGAAAATAGCTAGCTTTTAGCATGAAATTGAATCCTGTGGGCCTACGGATGAGGAGTCTCCATTGGTGAAAGTGTCATGCTTGAACAAGAGGATACACATATTTCCGTGTATATGAAGTATATATACTTACGTGCTGACGCTCACAAAGCCTCCAAGTGCCAGAATAGTACAAATTCCTAATCATACCATGCTTTTTCTGAGAATATCCCATGCAGTCATCTCTAAAGTATATCCAGTATTGTCCATGACTTTCATTACCCACTCGTTGTCGTTAAATATCATGTCTTGGTTCCTGGAGCAGTTGAACCCCCGAATTGGGCACGGAAAAGTCGGGCCGAGAGCCGGGCCAGAACATGCACAAAAGACGACATTAGTCAGCAGTATGAATGCCACCCATTGTGGTGTGCAGAGAAATAGACTTGGTGTGCACTCTACTTCACCGCCTGGCCATTTCCCACCGAACACAGGTTCATACTACTGTCAACGCTCAACCCTACCAGTATTAACGCCATCATCGTTTATCAACACCGTCAACGTTTATCAACACTGTCAACGTTTGTCAACATCCACCAACCATCATCGACATTCATCAACGGTCAACAACATCCATCAACCCTCATCAACCACCAACACTCGTGAACGCCCAGTCAACACATCCACAATGCACCGAAATAATCACCTGTGCTCGCTTTATGCTCCGGTGGCAGATAATTTCCATTGCGACGCGAGTACTAGTCAATCCAAAGGATGAAGACAGCAGGATTCGGAATGTGGCACTCTATAACGAACGATGTTGAATTACGATTTTGAAATCGGTTTGCTTCTATCTAGGGCTCACTTTATTTCTCCAATGATCGTCATTCGAAACACATCATACGTCATCAAGATGGTTTGCAGGTCTTGGCTTCTTCGAGTACTCTTGAATACTCCAATACTGGTCCCTAGCACCACGTAGAGGTGCCTGCACGAGCTAGAGGGGCTTTTTGTCGCAGATGTCCCTGCGGAGACTCTTGGTTTCGCAGATGTCCCTGCGGAGACTCTTGGTTTCGCAGATGTCCCTGCGGAGACTCTTGGTTTCGCAGATGTCCCTGCGGAGACTCTTGGTTTCGCAGATGTCCCTGCGGAGACTCTTGGTGTCGCAGATGTCCCTGCGGAGACTCTTGGTTTCGCAGATGTCCCTGCGAGGCGCTTTGTTGACGCAGGGCCTGGGCTGCGGAGAACTTGTTAACGCAGCGGTCTCCTGCGGGTCTCAATTGTCATCACAGCGTCCCCCTGCGGAGTTCACTTGGTAACGCAGCGCCCCCCTGCGAGGATTGTTGTTGACGCAGACCTATCCTGCGAAGCACACTTGATGACGCAGAGCCCATCCTGCGAAGCACACTTGATGACGCAGAGCCCATCCTGCGAAGCACACTTGATGACGCAGAGCCCATCCTGCGAGGATTGTTGTTGACGCAGACCTATCCTGCGAAGCACATTTGATGACGCAGAGCCCGTCCTGCGAGGATTGTTGTTGACGCAGGACCTAGTCTGCGGAGAACTTGGTAATGCAGCGGTCTCCTGCAGAGAACTTGTTAACGCAGCGGTCTCCTGCGGGTCTCACTTGTCATCACAGCGTCCCCCTGCGGAGTTCACTTGGTAACGCAGCGCCCCCCTGCGAGGATTGTTGTTGACGCAGAGCCTATCCTGCGAAGCACCTTTTTACAGTCACAGGGCTCATTGGCTGTGAGGGAGCACATTTTTACAATCACAGGGCTCATTGGCTGTGAGGTAGCGCAAGTCTTACATCGCTGGGCTCGTGGCAGCGACAGCCGTGGCCATGGAGACTCTCAAACCCGCAGGCAAGAAGGAAACCATGACACATCGGAGTGTGAGGACCGAAGTCCTGATTTTTTTGGGCTGGGAATCCGGCCCCTCTTATAATTCTTTCGGCTACGTCTCGACCAAGGAACCAGTTGCGCAGTTGGTAGCGAGAATCACTGTCTTTTTATTGTCGTTGAAGACATTTGAACAACGTTGAAATGGTGTTAGGAGACTTTGTGGCCTACAGACTCAAGTTTCAACCTGGATTCATTGCTTTCAAAACCTGCGTTGAGTGTGATGAACCACTTTCATCAACTGTTGAGAAGACAGTGATACCGCAAGAAATTGATTCTCACATCATTGAAACTGCAATTAAATCGCTCAACGCGGTGGCACTCTACATCTGCCCGTTTCAGCCACGGTCACCGCCTCTTTCATGAGGGTTGAAGTGCTTCAACAGATGCCGAATGATGGGTTGGGCAATGTGGCAGACAGTCACATTCGATTTTACCGGCTGTTGGCCATAGGACGTGCCTCCCATTGATCCCTCTACAATCCTCTTTGCCTAGCCTCGCGCGAACTGTACCTTTCTATGTTGCTCGCAACCAACTGATGTTGCCTCCACTGATACTTCTGATACCGGTCAGTACAGACACTTTGGACATATTCCTAAACCCAGGGTATTGGATTTCTCGCTGACGGATAATCAGAATTCGAGAATATATTTGAAAACCTAGAATAAAAACCCGAGTTCAGTTCTCAGGACAATGAAATGAGTTATTTCATCTACCATGGTTCACAATTTAGACTCTCATGATCGCCACCTCCTCGCAGGATTGCAATGCTACTTATGGTGAGTGTTGATGGTGAGTGTTGATGGTGAGTGTTGATGGTGAGTGTTGATGGTGAGTGTTGATGGTGAGTGTTGATGGTGAGTGTTGATGGTGAGTGTTGATGGTGAGTGTTGATGGTGAGTGTTGATGGTGAGTGTTGATGGTGAGTGTTGATGGTGAGTGTTGATGGTGAGTGTTGATGGTGAGTGTTGATGGTGAGTGTTGATGGTGAGCATAGCTGCAGACCAAAACGAGCGCGATTTCGCTGTAATGCCATTCGGATGCTCCATCCATTTGTGACCGACTTTATCTTTCGACAGTTCCCAGACCTAGCTTCTTCTCTCACTATTCACTAAAATCCCAATGACAAGCTAGCGAGCTTCAATCTCAATTTCCTATTGTGCATACAGCCTGAGGTTTACTCGCAAACTTGAGCCATTCCTGCTCCATCTCCTGCTTCTTGCAAACTTTACTCAAGGATATTGCTCTTGCCAATCGTTGTTCTTTTTTTCAACCCAAAAACCTTTTCCAAATGACACCACCGGACAAGTCGTCTACTGAAAGCCGCATGCACACCCTGTTTGCGGACTTCCAAAAATCAATTGAGACTTCCGACAGAGCCAGAGTCTCTGCAGAGCCCAGGGTGCCATCTCAGAAGATACCTCGCTCGATACTTAAGAACCGTGAGCGTACTTCGCCCCGCCAAGATAGACCTGAAGATAGACCACGCAAAAGAGTGCGATTCGAGCCAGCTTCAGGAGGCCCGTTGAAGGAATCCGTGCTATCCGGCGCTCACACGCCGGAGAAGTCCATAGCTAGCTGGTCAGTCTTCTTTCCCGTTGCCCCCTCTCCTCTTGCTAACTTATTACGCAGGCCGAGCAGGCGAAAAAGGTGTGTCACTTAGCATTCATCAATGCTCACTTTAAACGCGACAGCTTGTTGGCGGTAGGACTGATACGTACAAACAATAGGTCACTTCGCGGAAAAGTTAAACTACACGAACGACAAAGTCGTCGCAACGGAGGAAAGTCCCCTCAAAGTATGGGAAACAAAGAGGATATTGAAGCCCTCGGAACGGAAGTCAAGAGCTTCAAAAGGGAATTGGAAACCATGCGATCCTGCAGATCGGATGCTCGCAGCAGCGAACAAGACAGATAGTTCGACCATGATCACACAGATATCTGTAAGGCCCCACCCGAAGTGGGTACGTCCAGTTACCGCCGTTCAATTCCCTGCTTTCCATCTTCGGGATCGCCCTTGCAATCCAGCCAAGATGCCTGCGAGAAGACCGCAAGTAGCGACTTTACTACGTCTGCACTCAGCTCGTCGCCGGCTTGATCGTTCTCGCCTTGGAGGGCTATCTTGCCATGTTCACAGTTTTCAGGCATCATTCGGGTTATTTGACAGTGAGGGTTATTCTCCGTACTACAAGATTATGTATTATGGAGCCGTTGGCCAGGCGGCTTTCGGAGTTTTATCGGTCATTATGTCTCTCGTGCTTGTTGCCATATGCGCCTTACACGGACACTAGCAGAGTGCGCACACGGACCTATGAAGCAGGCACAGAGGGTTCCATCGACCTCCTAAAGTAGGGGTGAGGAACTAGTCAACCGGTAAAGGAATGGAGTCTACTGCAGAGTTGGTGAGATAATTTACCAATTGAATTTCGTGATTGAAACCAAAGCATGTTCATCGCTTGATCTGGCTAGCCAACCAATCGTGGCCAATATTGGAGCAGCATGCTGGGTGGCTTGATGTAGCAAGCAGGTGATGGTTGACGACCTGCTGTGCGTAAATAACCCTCAACCTTGGTGGCCGCCAAGATTTCAAAAGCCGACCGGAGAAATGAGCTGGCCAAGGATCACAAAGCCCCAGGGAATCGTACGTAGCTTGCAGAATCTCCATTCCCATCCTCACAAAATCAGTCACACGCCTGTTGACAGTTCTGTCAGCCCTGGAGATGCATATCTTGGCCCTAGGAGCTCTCTTGCTCCCAGGGGCTTTAGTGCTGTTTTTGGGGCAAGAAAGCAGCTTCTAGGAGCCACGTAGCCCCCAGGAAACCCGACGTAGCTTCTGGGGCCTAGTATTTTCACCTCCTGGAACCTCAAGTGCGGCTCCTGGGGCTATGGCTAAGTCTTTCCGGGGGTAACGAATCACGCAGATTTATGCGCAGGTCTGGTGAAGGTTTTCTGTGAGGGCTTTTGGCGACCTCAGAAGGCAAAATACTGACTCTGGGATCCTGAAGCAGGGCCCCAGGAGCGCGACAACTTCCAGATCCAGCCAACTTGTTCCAAACCCAGTTCATATTTCATCAGGATCGTATCGTAGAGATCCCAGGGTAGAACTCAAATTCCTGGAAACAGGAAATGGCCCCAGGAGCTAAAGACAGGTTCCCAGAGAACAAACGGCTCCTAGGATTGCGTTTGGCGTTTCTAGTATCAATGCAATAGTTTCCAGAGTCAGATTTACAATGATTGTTGACTAATATAGATGGGCTGGTTTTGCTACGTCGTGAGGCGGTACGGATACAGTAGAAAAAGCGTCTGATTGTGCTCTTTATCAACACTTACGGCCCGCCTCTACCCTCCCCTACATCGACGCTTCAGGAGAGCCCCACACGATCAAATTTCTAGAGCATGATACGGCGATAGAATTGAAGCCGGATGCCCATATCTCAATTGTTTTGTGGAATAAAATGTATAACTTCGAGCCAAACACGCAGTTTAATGGCAGGGTGTTAGACAGATACGAATGGAATCTTTGGGACGAGGTTGACTGTGCTTTCAAGCTCCCCTTTCAACGTAGCATATGATTAGATATATAACTCTCAGTCAAATCAGGTCTTCCCGCATTTGCTCTTTAGATCAAATCTTGGAAATCCTTGCGACGCCTCCCATTGTGTACCTCTCGGGGGAAATAAATGGACGCATAAATCTTTTCTACCTATTCCTGTTGTCAACTACTGGTATCAGTACGTGTTTGATGATCGGGATAGTAATTTCACGCCATCGGACTTTCAACTACGAATCCTTACTTCAGTATAAACCATGTCACAAAACGCTGGAGACTTTCATTCTTATATCCTAAAGGAAGCAAAGCACATATAATCAGACAAAACCAGATCAGAATCGGAAAGACAACAAAGCAAAACGAAAAAAAAAAAACTATCAATCAATTCTATATCGTATCCAACAAGGCAATTGGTTGCCGCGGATTTGATTTTCTCTCAGAGTTCTTCTTCAGCCTCTTCATCGCCCATGAGCAGCCTCTCCTCTTTGTAATGATCATAATGAGCCAACGCCTTTCTGTATTTCTCTTCTCTCTCGTCTTTGGTGAAAGTGTTCCACTTTTCCAACTTTTCCACATTCGCCATGTAGGTGTGAATGTTGAATTTCTGAGGTGCCTTTTTCTTGTTTTGGCTGCCCCCGCTGCTTTCATTCTGGGTGGCATTCGGTGCAGGCGCATCCTCAATGGAGGAGCGGGGTTCCTCCTCTGGCTCTTGTTTGATACCTGTGACCGGATTGGTACCTGAGATGCTGGAATGGCTCTTGGGGGCCGACGAAAGGGGCTTCAGCAGGACCGAGGATGATTCGTACCGATGCGGCGAGTCAGATCTTTCTCGCTTGATTTTCTTGTCCTCGAACATAGCTAAAGGACATGGCGTAAGTGGGCGATGAGCTGATTTACCCTCACTATTGATCGCCTCGAGGTGTAGAGTCTCCTGCGCGTCCCAGGCTGCGTGGATTACCAAGCTGGCCAGTTTCGGGCCCATCAATCGGATCACATCCGATCTCGTTGTCCAGTTGCATTCTTCACCTAACAAGGCCTGGTGCTCTTTTTTGATATCCATCCATTCGATCTTGATCCATGTATGTGGGCTCCTGAGGCTGTTCCCCGTTTCATCAATGGCGATGCCTCTAACCCCAACAATATTATCTTTTGTATATTGCCAATGTTGATCCCCGTTTTCGGCTTCGTATCTGAGCTTGGAAATCCGATTGTTGGCGAATGAAAGATTCTTCAAACCCTTTGTGCTATACGCATTTGTCCTTCGATACACGTACTTGGGGGCCTTGATGGGGCCAACTCGAAAAATAAAGAATCGGTTGTTCGATTGGCCACCGAACGCCTCTATGTCGCCTGGTTGGGGATCTTCGTGTCTTTTCTTCTTTGAGTGACGGTGTTCACTTATGCTCATCTGCTGAAAGTCCACAAGTAGTTGCTTGTCGTTGGTTGAATCATCCAAGCCACGTGCGCGTGCTCCCGTGGGACCAGCAGAGACCGACTTGCCGGAGGTTTGGGGTTCAACGTCCGACATGTCCACATCACTCGACGGAGAGTCGTCCGCATGCTGTGTTTCGCTGCGAAAACCTCCTGAAATATCGCCATTTTGGTTTGAATTTGATTGAAGTGGCTGCTCCCTGTCTGGAGATTGTCGGCCGTCCCCGGGTCCCGGTGCAGCAGACACTTTTTCGTCAGCACTCGGACCCTCTCCATTGGTAATCCCTCCGCTTTGTGCCTCGTCAAGGAGCTGTTCCAGCTGCTCTTGGCTATGTTTGGTTGTCCTGGGCTCACCCTTGGACGGTTTCTTCACGCCCGCAGTGCTGGCATTGGAAACCATGGTGTGGATCTTCTATGCAGTCCCCTTGAGAATGGAGCAGGTTGATTGTCGTCTTACTTCTGATGGAAAGGCTTTGAGCTATTTATAAGCAAAAGTCTCCGCGGAGTCCGATCATTTTCCCTCGCTGAAGGAGGAATATTGCGGCGCGCTCCAATTGCCTCAATAATTTCGGTTGTTTATTTAGGAAATAATGATGATATGGGAGGCTTACGATTTAGTGGCGTTGGTATTTATTAAAAAAAGAGCCAGAATCTTGAGACCAGAATTTGTGTCTCAACTTTTCCCTCCTGGTCAGCGGAGAGAGGCCACCGAAATCTGATGGAGCGTTGACAACAAAAAAGACGGAGAAAGACATCAATTTCACCTGCAAAGGTGAAAGAAAAGAATTCTATTCAATCATTAAAAAACCTTTTTTACGATGCCTACACAAATGTAGACCTGAAAACCGCACCTGGCTAAAAGACCCAGTACCACTGTTTGTTAGCTGGCGCTGCCCAGCTGGATGGTCATTATTGCCCTTTTTTTGCCGTCAAAATCTGCACGTGTCTTCATCTTGACGCATGTAAGCAGTGATCGAGAAAATTAATAATTTGCGGATTTTTACTCTTACGGTGTGATCACCCTTTCAGTCCTCAAATTGGCCATAAGCGCATAATTCCGCAGTACATCTAGCGCATTGAGCTAGCCAGTTTTATTTTTCTAGTACCAATGGCTTCATAGCATGAATTTTTTCACATACAAAGAACGATATAAAGAACACTTTCACTGAGCCTAGCTTCTCGGGAAGTTGGTCTAACCCTGAAACCAAATGAATGAAAAGGACTTCTATTGCATGCGGGTTGAGCGTGACTAGCGGCAGTACATTTTACTCTGCCGCTTTCGGTATTTATCTACAAGTAGGACCTGCCGAAGGTTTGATCTTGGTGGTTCGCTCCATTCTCCCTGGCAGAGTTCAAGCATACATGCTAATTTTATCGCTGAAATATTTTGCCCTGTTAGCCAGATAGTGTAGAGGTGACGCAAAGCACCTACGAGACATTAGCGTCTTACAAGACTTGGCGATAAAGCAAAGGCAGCTGAGACAGATGAACTCAGGGAGAACATGGATCTCAATTCCCCCAGCATGATATCAGAATCAGAGCATCAGAGCAACGCTCCCGAGAAAGCCTCCGGTATCGCCCTCAAAGGGCCAACAGGCCCGGAAAATGTGTACTCTGCCGACCCGAGTCGAAAGCGAACCCGGAGGGGTGCGATCAAACGTCACGCTAGGAAGACCGGCAAGCCTACAAGCAAGTACAACTGCGACGGCTCAGCCATCAAGGAGTGGAGACCACCGTCTCAAGAGACGGGTACGCCTTGCTTCGAGTCTACTCCGTCTTCCTTGCACATAGAATTCCAGTCTGTACTTCCCTGTCATCTCGATCGCTATTGAGTATTTCCTTTTCTAAACCCGCACTAGGTTAGATCGCGAGGCTCTCAGCTTTTATGACTGGGCCAAGCCACAGGAACTTGGAAACGTTGTCCGTAGAGATCTCGTCGAGCGATTGAATGTTGCATTTCAAAGTCGATCCGCCGGCACTGAAATCCATGCTTTTGGCTCTTTTACCTCTGGTATCTACCTGCCTACCGCGGATATTGACCTTGTACTATTGTCCGACAATTTCAGATGCACAGGAGTGCGTTCATTTGGCGAGAGAAAAGATAAAATATACGCAATTTCGGGCTTCCTAATAAGTACCAACATTGACAACTTTAGTTGGGCAATCAAGCTCTGTTTAAATACGACTGAGTGCTCTTACAATGCTGCAACCACATAATGTAGCCGAGTCATGTTGGAAATGCGCCTACGGAATGAAAACTCACGACTGTTCCCAGTCATAAAAATTTGGTTTGTGATAATTATGTTATTTAAGAGAGCGGTCGCAGAATTCTGCGGCGCCGGTTTAGTGGTTTGGCACGGTTTTAGCAAGCTATAGAAATGAGCCCATTCATGTCACCATATTTGTAATAAAAGAGCCGTCAGCTCTGGGCAATATCTCGCGGCAAGGTAGCAAGAAGCCAATTGAAAATGTCAAGCCGTCTGCGGATCACGGCCCGGGCTAACGGGCTGACACCTTGATGATCAGGGACGTTGGTCTGAACCCGCGGAAATTTCGCGAGAAGGCAAAGCAGCTGCCAGTTGCAGGTGTTCACCGCGTGCCAGAGAGCCGAACGACCGGAATAATCAAGCGATTCGGCTCGAATGTCTTTGTGCAACAACAGTGAATCAAGTATCCGGTTGCTATTGGGCTGATCACAGCCGTGGATCTTGGCAGCCAGTAGAAGTGCAGTATCGCCGTTGCTGTCTCGAGCATTGACGTTGACATTTTTGTGCTTCAGCAAAATTTCGACCGCCGTCACGTCATCATAAATCACAGCAAGGTGGAGAAGAGTATGCCCACTCTTATCTGCGACGTTCACGTTGGTATGTGGATCGCAGAGGAGCGATTGCAAGATCTCGTGCTGTCGATATTCCATAGCCACCATGATTGGTCGTTGGTTGTTCCAATCTGGACGGTTGACGCATACAGGGAACCGCCCCATCAGGTATTGGACGAAGCAGCTCTTGCCCTGTATGATGGCCCAGCTGAGTACACTTGGGGCCCGGCAAGGGCACGAGGCGAGCATATGGTCATGTTGTATCTGCAGATTGTCCACCTCCAGCCTGTCTTTTTCTGACATAGATATTGAGGATGTGCAGCACACGCTGGACTCGACACTCGGAGGGCACTCGGGGCGGTACATGTCCGCAGAACTTTCGAGATGGTACGCTGTTGACGGATATGATATTTTGAGCGAGATGGGGGGAAATTGCCCAGGTAGTTGTGACAAAGACTGCTCTGGGGCAGAAACGAGAAGCTATTAATGGATCGGATGATAGCATAGCCCTCTTTATACCTGGATCATTGTATTCAGATGTGCCATTTTCAGGAATATCCTGAGCATTCTCGATCATCAGTATCTGATCAGCGAAAGGAAAGTGACGCGCATTCCTATGAAAGTTATCTAGCTCATATCCCAAACCCGAGATGGAGGCGAGAATGAACAGGGACAGGACATGATCTCGATCAAAGAATAGCCGTCGAATACTTGCAAAGTGGTGATGAGACAGGCGGTCAAGGTATGCTATCCATCAGTGCAGCGATCATGGCTATGCTGTGGAATGGAGGACGGAGATTGTGTTCCTAATTGTTCTACGCACCGTAGCATTGAACCAAGATCGGCGCCACTGTCCCAAAGAGACCTCACATGGATCTTCGAAACCCTCGAATGGCCCTAGGATCTCGGTGAAGCGTTCCAGGGGTGCTGTAGCTCCCAGGACTAGTGTGCAGGGTTGCTAGACAGGATTGTCACAGATATACATGAAGTTTACGGGAGAGTCCATCCGTCGCAACAGAGTGCATCTGCACTCAGGGCATAGAGACAATAAAAACGTGAGTATTTTGATGCGGCGCGGATGTGTTGATAAGCATTGATGAGCGTCAATGAGGTTGTTGATCAGCCTTGATAAACGTTGATGTTCGTTGACGGGGGTGTGTGCTGATGAGCGTTGATGAACGTTAGTTAACGTCGATGAGCGTTAATGGTCGTTGATGAACGTTGACGAGGGTGTTGATGTGTGTTGATGCTTGTTGTGGATACCGACAGGCGGTGAAGGTGGTGGTCAACGTCTCACCGACGTAGCGTGAGGTTTTCTTGCCATCTTACCAACATGACAGATGTATCGCTTTGCATTGTTCCAATTCCGCGTCATTTGTTCCAAGCTGATCACTCGGTGAAGTTGGCATACGGCCTCCATTTCGATTGAGCTGGTCGAATGCAAACACCGGATGTCCCTCCATTGGTTCAGCTATAATCAGGCAATACGCTCAAGGTCAGACTGTTCAGAGGTATGAATTGTGTTATTATTTCAGAGGGATAGATGAGCCTATATATACAACAATTAGTCAAGTTGATTGGAAATCAACTTGATCGTCTGTATAGACACTCCGGATCTAATTCTGACGGTGCGGCTTGGTTCCTGGTCTGCACCAGCCTCATATCATAACAATAACAAGTCAATCCATACCTCTGAACAAAAACAGTGCCGCTCCGGACTCGTGATAGTGGAATAGGCGAACCATGCCGTGATAGAGAATTTACCTTTTCTAGTGCTTCTTGCCTACAGTTCGGCACGGGCTTTAACAGGCTGCCAGTAATTATATTGGCGAAGGTGACGAGGATCAAACCCCCAAGTGCGGGGTTCAGCGTCGACATGCCAGTCACCTGATTTAAAAGAAGCGCTAAGCTGAAAATACTCAGCTACCCATTGCTTCGCAACTTCTTCAAACTCGCTTTCTAGCCCCTTTCTGGCTACTTCATGTCATCTAACAATATCTTCAGCGGTTCAAATCATGGAATGCAAGTGGTAGCAAATTATGGCAGCATCAGTGCACAATTTGGCCCCAAACATGGTACGTTCAAAAGCTGAGCAAATCCAGGGGAGCGTCGCTGATAGCAACTTCGTGGACCAAGAATGCCTAAAGCATTTGCGAGTGACGAATCCATGCGACGATAAAGATCGGATTGAGAGTGACAAGGGTGGACTGTTGAAAAACTCCTATCGCTGGATCCTCGACCATGTCGATTTCAAACAGTGGCGAAATGACCCAGAGAGCCGGCTGCTCTGGATCAAGGGAGATCCTGGGAAGGGAAAGACAATGCTACTGTGCGGAATCATCAATGAACTGAGTGCGTTAACTGAAGGAAACACGACCACGATATCTTTCTTCTTCTGCCAGGCGGCTGAACCGAGCATCAATAACGCTACGGCGGTTTTACGCGGGCTTCTGTATCTGATTCTCAATAAGCAGCCAGCCTTGATCCCACATATACAGAAAGAGTACGATCAAGCCGGAAAACAGCTATTTGAGGGTGTCAATGCGTGGCATGCATTATCCAGGATCTTCACCGATATCCTGAAAGATCCGCTCCTACAGAGCACTTATCTAATTATTGATGGACTCGACGAATGCACCCACAACCTACCCCTACTTCTCGACCTTGTGTCTGAAACCTCATCGGCGAATCCAAACGTCAAATGGATTGTCTCCAGTCGTAACTGGACGATTATCGAAGAGTCTCTTGATAATGTGGATCAAAAAGTAAGACTTTGTCTGGAGTTGAACGAAAATCTCATCTCCGAAGCCGTGATGATCTACATTCACTATAAGGTTCAGATATTGGCAGAGCTGAAGAAATTCGATGCGGAACTTCTTGCAGCTGTTCGCTGCCACTTGTTGTCTAACGCACTTGGTACTTTCCTCTGGGTAGCATTGGTCTGCGAGGAGCTCAAAAAAGGAAAGTCGCGAAACGCCCATAAGCTGGTGACTGCCTTTCCAGCAGGGCTGAATCCCTTGTATGAGCGGATGTTAGAGCATGTGCAAAACTCAGAGGATGCAGTAGATTCAGAGCTTTGCAAGCGCATTCTAGCCGTCGTCGCTATTGTGTATCGGCCCATTACTCTTGAAGAACTACCAGCCTTGGTCGAAATACCTGATAATGTTCTCAAAAAAGACAAACATTTGGCAGATTTGATTGCGGACTGTGGTTCTTTTTTGACCCTCCGTGGCCGTACAATCTGTCCTGTTCACCAATCTGCAACAGACTTCCTGCTTAAAGATGCATCAAACGAGAAGTTTTCCGTTTATCCACAGGGCGTCGAAGCCAAACATCAGGAAATATTTTTTCGGTCTCTACAGGCCATATCCGAGACACTTCGACGCGACATCTACAGTATCAAACATCCTGGATTTCCGATCGAACAAGTCAGAGAGCGTACTCCGGATCCATTGGCAATAGTACGATACTCATGTGTCTATTGGGTCGACCACCTGAAGAATTGTGATTCCAGCTCAAACACCGATCAGGGCCTCCAAGTAGGTGGCGCCGTGGATGATTTCCTCCGGGAGAAATATCTCCATTGGATCGAGGCCTTGAGCCTTCTCAAAAGCCTTTCTGAAGGCATAGCGGCGATGGTCAAGCTTGATAGCTTACTCCAGGTTAGCGGTCACATTTATACCGACGGAGTTTTGTTGCTAACAAGTAGGCGCTATAGGTCAAAAAAGGCATTTCACAGGCACTTTTGAAGCGAGTCGGTGATGCGTCTCGATTTATCCAATACCATAGGGTGGCGACGGAGAGCAGCCCCCTTCAAGTATACAGCTCGTCGCTGATTTTTAGCCCAACCCAGAGCATAACTAAAATTTGCTATCAAACGGAGAGACCAGACTGGCTTGTGAATGAATCAGCGATGGCGAAAGATTGGAGTTCATGCCTTCAAACCCTCGAGAGGCATAGCGCCTACGTCACGTCAGTTGCCTGGTCGCCGGATGGAAGACTCGCATCAGGGTCACATGATGAGACCGTCAGGATCTGGGACCCAGTCACTGGCCAGTGCACATCAACCCTCGAGGGGCATAGCGACTGGGTCAGGTCAATTACCTGGTCGCCGGGTGGGAGCCGACTCGCATCAGCATCACGTGATGAGACCGTCAGGATCTGGGACCCAACCACTGGCCAGTGCACATCAACCCTCGAGGGGCATAGCGCCTACGTCACGTCAGTTGCCTGGTCGCCGTATGGAAGCCAACTCGCATCAGCGTCAGATGATGAGACTGTCCGGATCTGGGATCCGCTCACTGGCCAGTGCACATCAACCCTCGGGGGGCATAGCAGCTCCGTCTTGTCAGTTACCTGGTCGCCGGATGGAAGACGACTCGCATCAGCGTCACGTGATGGGACCGTCAGGATCTGGGACCCAGTCACTGGCCAGTGCACATCAACCCTCGAGGGGCATAGCGACTGGGTCAGGTCAGTTGCTTGGTCACCGGATGGACGCCGACTCGCATCAGCGTCACGTGATGAAACCGTCAAGATCTGGGACCCGCTCACTGGCCAGTCCACATTAACCCTCGAGGGGTATAGCAGCTCTGTCTTGTCAGTTGCCTGGTCGCCGGATGGAAGACGTCTCGCATCAGCGTCACGTGATGGGACCATCAGGATCTGGGACCCAGTCACTGGCCAGTGCACATCAACCCTCGAGGGGCATAGCGACGAAGTCAGGTCAATTGCCTGGTCGCCGTGTGGAAGCCGACTCGCATCAGCGTCAGATGATAAGACAGTCAGGATCTGGTACCCGGTCACTGGCCAGTGCACATCACCCCTCGAGGGGCATAGTGGGTCCGTCTTGTCAGTTGCCTGGTCACCGGATGGACGCCGACTCGCATCAGCGTCAGATGATAAGACCGTCAGGATCTGGGATCCGCTCACTGGCCAGTGCACATCAACTCTCGAGGGGCATAGCAGCTCCGTCTTATCAGTTGCCTGGTCGCCGGATGGAAGACGACTCGCATCAGCGTCAGATGATAAGACCGTCAGGATCTGGGATCTGGCCACTGGCCAGTGCACATCAACACTTGCTGCGAATTCTCCTGAGGGTGTTCAATTTGATGAAGCGGGTTTGAATCTTCTGTATACTAGTGTTGACACATTCAATTTTGAAAATGTTGTCCCCATGAAGACCTCCTTTGACCATTCGGCTACCCTGCCACATCAAACAGGGTATGGCTTTAATGACGACCGCACCTGGATAAACTATAAAGGAGAAAATCTTCTATGGTTGCCCTCAGAGTTTCGGCCGGCCGTTTTCTCAACATCAACCATATCTTCAAATATGGCAATCGGCTGTTCATCAGGTCGTGTTTTGATCTTCACTTTCTCGAAGGAATCCCATGTCCTAAACCCACAAAATTCAAAACGACTTTCCAAGCCTGGCCGACGTCGTAGGCGCACAATCTTGTCGCGCCTCTTTAGCAGAAAGTAGGACTTTTCCTATTCAACTGCTCTCTGGTAGAGCTTTGCTTTTCGATATTAAAACAAAACAAAATTCTGCAATGTATTGAATTACTTTATCGCAAGAATGAACGGCTGTCTTTCTTGCAGTTCGAGATAATGTCCAGCATTTTAGGCTCTCTAATGTTCTGACGAACTGAGAGAGTGGTCAAATACAACTAGGACCGTTTGGGATAGGCTTATCCGTCGTTCACCCAATTCCCTTAAGTATTCGGACGGTATTCCGGGCACATTCGGAAGTACGGTGTTGTAACACGCCGAATCTTATTTGTATAGACCCTTGAGATCGTTCAACCGATCTTTAACACCTACAATCAATCACCTGATTCTATTGGACATTTTCAATACCAGCCAGTACATCAATTCCTCATCCTGACATTCAGGAATCGTAACAAAAAATCATTACATAAAACAAAGCACCCGGATCGAGAGGGACATGGCCCCGTATTACTCCTCGATAGGTTAATTTTTGCCAGCACAAGTCGAAAGTTGACCTGAAAAGTTAGGGTTAAATATAGTTTATATTAACAAAAGGGCCTCGAAGATCTCAACTCAATCTAATCTAAAGTTCGGCAGGGGCTCCGTCCTTCTCTGAGCTTCGAATCATCATTTCCATGGGAAGGCTGAAGCTGGACATTGACGTCCGCGGACTTCCGTTGCATGGTGCTTGCAGTAGGGCAATCCCCGGTATCAATACCCTCTAGACCATGGTAAAGAAATGCGAAAATAGACGATTTCCACAATGATGTGTCTCTGTTAGTAAGACGGCAACGACGAAAAATGTTATCCCAGACGCAACCAGGAGACTGGGCAGAATTATCCATGCCCACTTCACTTCCACAAAAACCTCAATGCCAAATGCGGTTCCATTCACCTCTTGTCCGACCGAAGTCAACAACAGCTTGTTAAGTGAGTTCGCAAAAATTGACACAACATGTTCCAGACCAGCATGAGCTGTCAGTGGTAGTTTACCACCAAGCCCGTTTTGGACAGGATCCACAAGAGAAGCTTACTAAGAAGCAAGCCCCTGAGTCTGGTATGTATATAACAGGAGGATGGAGGCGTTTTAGAAGAACAGCTGTTTAGTGATAATCCATTGCTACGTACGAGACCTTACCGATCCATCGACCGTCGACAAGCGTCAACACATGGATATTTATATTTCACATAACAACAAGCAGGTGCATCTTCTTGTCCAGGTATGTATGACACTTCCATAGTTGGACTCCTCATTCGTAGGCCGACAGGATTCAATTCCATGCCGAAAACTAGCTAATTTCTCACATTGAGTGTCCGTTTCCACACAATATTGATCATAGGAAAATCCGCGTTCTTTATGCAAAGGCTAAGAATTGGCATGGCTGTATTGTTTTCGGCCCACCGGGCCCCCAAGAAAGCCCCGGGGCTTCTACCTTAGGTCAATAGCCCATCTGCGGGTTGGGGCGGGGTTGGGCCTCGGGGTTTGGGCCGGTCCGGAAGTCTACATGTGACAGAGATAACAGTTTTATTGTTTCATTCTGCACCATTTGGCATCACTTGCTACGACGGTGCCCTGGTATTTACTCAGTAAAGTTCGCACACAGCCTTCAATTCGATTGAGCTGGTCCAATGCAAACACCAATATCCCTCGGTGAAGCTATAAGTAGGCAACACCCACGATCATATCTACCAGGTTTAGATGAAGCATTGAACGAGGAGCGCTCAAAATACGTCTTATTGCCCAGATCATTATGGTGATGCAATAGACTGTTCCTCGCGTAGTCGAATTTATCGTGTCAGGGGGCTTGTAAGTCACTCACTCCTACTCTGCTGTAGAAGGCCTATATGCACGATGGCCGCGAGAGTCGAAGTGGATTGCCAATAGAGACAGCGAAGAAATTAGGGGGCATGGCTTGAAAATTTCCGATCGGCTGCTTCCACAAGGGAGCCGTCGCATCTTTGTCAGTAATTCTCGCCAGCGATTACGATTCATAGTGTGAGCCCATCTCTCGTGTAGCAACCACGCCGCACTCAAATTGGCGACCACTGCTTTTTGGAGTGGAACCCGAGCTCATGCGATCAAGTATACCCTGCTGCGCAGAGAACATTGTTGCAGCCCGATCGGGTCTGGCAGGCGCCATCTTGACTAGATTCGGCAAAGACGATTCCACCAGCATCTACGACGGACATTGCGATGCAATCTACTTGGGTTAAACCGCACCAAAAATGATCCTGACCCACCCGAAAGCAATCAAATGAACAGATTAGTGGCAATGATAGCGTAGGCCGGAATAAATAGTCAGAGAGCTCGCACAGAGGTTGGCTGTGAGTAAAGTTGTGCAGACATCCAACTCACCTTTACAAAGGATCAGCTCAAAAAGTGATATGACAGTCCAAGTCGCGGGGTATCTGACAATTAATTGATGCCCAAAAACAGTCGAGATAGGGAACGTAGAGAGCTGGGTCATTCCCCGAAAAAACGCTTGCACGTGATATGTCAGAAGACAATTTCAGTGAGATAGCGGGCTTCGTTTGACTCACCTAGAGATGCAGGGTTATCCAGGAAAAATGGTCTTTGCACTCCTTATTCGGCTTGGATAGAAAACAGCGTGCTTAGGCATCAGATCCAGCCAGTGTATAACCAAAAACACCACAACAGTTCTGACGGTGATCTTGATGCAGTGTCGTGCATGTCTCATTGATTCATCTTCACTTGTTCGTCTCCGCTTGTTAGCTCCACCCGCTGGAATACATCGACCGGCTGGCAACGCAGAGTAGGATCGGGTAGGACAGTATGGGTCGATGATTCGTAGCTCGTGGCTCTCTAGTTGACTCGGCTATGGCTCGACACTCTGCCATCTCCTTTTAGCGGTCCGTACCTGATATGGCCAATGGTCATCTGTAGGCGCGAGATAATGGGGTCCCGCCCCACGTTCACCTTACACGCGGACTTAGAATCACAGCCTACTCGTCGGCGAAAGCAAGACTCGTCCGCCATGAGCCAGACTGACACATGAGATCATCCCGGTGCCTGTCGAGCTGCCAGGCATCAAAAGATGCGAGATGCCAACCGAGGACAATGAGCATCACCCATTGGACGCCAGGAATTCGATCCACAAGGAACCTATTCTTTCGCGTTGCTCGAATACCGAGACGGACGGTGGTTTGGCCCATTATGCCTAGGTCGTTGTATCGGTACACACATCAGCGCCTGACTGGTGCATAGTGTCCACTGAGAAAAGGGCCGAGACAATGTGAACATTCCAGTCATTCCTCGTCCATGCCACCAATGGTCATGAGGAAGGGACAGATAGCTTGCAATCGCATCGGTACAGTATAGAGGAGCTCAAGTAGACAAGATTGCTTGCTTCGCATTCGAGTCGAGTGACGGGAATATGAGGGGCGCTGTTGTATGAACCGAGTCAGTAAGGTTTACTACTTGGGCGAGATTTACGTTCGCTTGAGACGAAACGATCAATTAGCTTGTGGTCATATCTTACCGACGAGTTCACTTACAATTGTCTTCATCAATGCAATCACCATTCATGCTGTGTTGGCATGATGATATATCCAGTCCGTCGCACTCTCCGGCTGTCGCTTCGAAGAAGCCGCGCTGTGTGAACCGGGTAACTTCTGAGAGCCAAAGGCGCGTGACGAACCACCTGTGACTGGAAATCGTACACTCGTAACGGGATAAAACCTTGCGATGGGGACGGCAGAGGTTTATAAACTCCGCCGTTCATGGTGCGAGGGCGGTGAGGTTGAGGCGGAAGACGCGATGGATCACGCGTCGTAGTGACGTGGTCTTATCTCCGATCCGGCGATAGTATTTCCCACAGGTATGTTTCGCAGTGGCAGTGGCTGTATGGTGCTCGTGTTTTGGAGCACAAGAATTGCACAAAAATTTGATATAGCGCAGCAGAGGATGCGATAAATTACACACAATTCCAGGAAGAATGGACATCTCAAGCTCGCAGTCGGATATTCGCACCTTTATTTGGCCGCTGCTTTGGATCACTCCAGCTAGGGTATGATGTGGGGTCTGAAGTGATGGGGCCAAGAATAGTGTGTAGGCAGTGTCGTTGTGCAGAGCACCAACGGGGTCGCTGTATCCTCGGGGATTTCTAGTGCGATGTCAACGTTCTTATTGTTCGTTAGCTTATGAATTGGCGACGTAATTGATGACTCACATGTTCTAGTGGCCAAGCCTAGGGACAAAGAACGACAAAGAGCTGCGGTCTTTGCGCTCGTGCGTTGTGGTCAACTGTCGGTTCTATTGAAATCCCAACGTCAAGTCAGGCTAAGATTCACATACCTGCGACACTGATGTTCGCGCTATCTCTTGGGAAAATGCACAGGGTACTGGACAGTAGAACAGCTCGAGTGGCTACTGTGGCGGAAGTCATCTTCTCACAGGAACCTTGACCAGCTCATCCAAAGCCCGTCGTTTAATTGCTGATGAGAATGGCAAGGTATCCGGTGGGCAATATACCTGGATCTCTCACAGGCACTGTCTGGCTTGCAAATTCTCGCTGTATCCTATCAATGTCAGTACAGTGGAAAGTCGGTTCTGGGTCGAAGGGGAGTACTTATCAGGTGGCTCAGACACACTCCAGTTTGACTTGGCAGAGTTAGGTGAATGAATTGTAAAGCGAATCGCCGGGGGTAGGGCACGTATTTATAGGCTTCTCGGCTCATCCTGTCGCGAAAGTGCGCTGCTTGGTAGAACGCGTTGTGGGACACTTCTTAATTGAGGCCCGTTGAAATCCAGGTCTTCTTTTAGCCGCAATTATTTGCAGCGAGATTTTAATGATTTAGATGCTCAGTTGGTCAAGAAACGTTGGCTGACTGACCGTTGAGTCCTTCACTGCCCTCTTGAATTGAGGCACTGAGTACATTCAATGCGCAATGACAGGCTCATATTGTTTGGTCTGATACCTAACCTGTGAGTGACTCAACGTTGAATCACCGAAAATCGCCTACAATTTCATACTTGAAATCATGGATTTTTTTCCCAGCCTCGCTTTAGTGTGGTGTTGGTTGTGCTGAGCTGTGGGTCTGTCCGACCAGACCGCGGAAAGCGAGGTCACAGTAGGATGTGCTCGACCCGTCAACCCGTTGAAGCTTAGCCTAACGTTGTCAACACTCAATTTTCGAACTTGTGACCATGAAAGTACACTAAATGAAAATTTTGAGTTTTTTTCTCCGAGTTTATTTGTTAATGACGATATGTAAGTTCTACAACATTCCATTTGTCGGATTTCTGAGGCGTTCAACGAAAGGGAAAGAGGTTTCTGATTGAAATACATATCCACACCAGGGAGGCGTTCATCTCTGGCCCTTAACATCATGGGGTTTGATCAGTTTCCCCAACCGACTATCCTATCGTTGAATACACTGTCAACAGCCCGCCGAAAAGTAACAAACTTTTCATCAAAATTTGACTGCATCGATAAACAGTTGTGGGACATGTAGAGGAACAAGTCGCTAGCCTGAGTAGACATGGACAGAGGGTCTGGACCAGTCCACTTGAAGGCTGGTAGCTTTTCATAAGTGGGGTGGAAAAGGCATTCGATCAAGGCAGACCCTAAAGTCTCATATCCTGCAGGATCACCCGCATCCGAAAGAATCTGCCGAGGATTATCGGAATCGGTCGCGAGACAGGGAGGTGGTGTCGGTATGCCAGAGCACTCTTGCCAAATGCCGTGAAGGTAAAGATCCAAATCACAGTCTGCCAATATTAGCACAAAATCACATTGAAGCAACGGGTACAGACCATTCTTGTTTGATTCGTGCATCTTGGTTCAAGGCTCACCGTCAAAGGCGGGTGGGAAAATACCTGAGTGTAGAAAGTAACAATTCGGCAAGGGCTAGGAGCAGCAGAATGCCGCAGGGTAGGCAAATTATTTATTTATCTTGATCACGCAGGTTTATGGCAAATGAGGTGGACTTGATGGCCAAATGCTACCTTGTTGGAAACCAAACGCTTGGTCTATCAACAGCCGTGAAACGTTGACACCCCGTCACCAAACCCAACGGAAATTCACCGGTGGTTGTTTGGGCCGTTATCGCCCACGAGCGCTGAACAACAATGGGACTTGATCAATGCCCATCAGCATGGCAGGCTTGAGTCTCGCTCGCTTGTAATGATGAAACCACGCCATTACAAAGGGCTTGAACTGCTCGCTTTTGATCCCAGAGTATCAATGCCTGCTCATCGCAGAGCTGTAGAAGTATGTCGCTGTCGCTTGCTAGCCACTCATTTGACTCTTGAAGCTGTCGCTGCTCTTCCTCGAGTCGTATCTTCTCGGCGGATTTGACGACGTAGCATTCCCAGAGGCAAAAGTACAGATCCAGCAGTTTGAGGGATGGTGTAGCCAGGGCATCGTTGTAGTGTAGAAGTTTCATGAACTCCGCCGTAAGGGAACCGCGTGTATGCACTGGAACCTATGTAGTGTTAGTGATCTTGTACTTTTGTCACCGAAGAGAATATGACCGACATCGGGTTCAATGATTGTGCTGTTTGCAGATTGCTGTGGATGGTTTTGCAACTTGTTCTCATCTTTAGGGTCGTGGGAAACCTGGCAATGTCTCTTAGCCGGCCGGTCACATGTGGAAAGGGAAGTAGGACTGTCCATCGTGGTCTTTGGGGAGTGGAATGCAAGAGAAATTGTACTCGAGGGTTTTTTTTACCCGTCCGTCACACCGAGGCTGCTGTCATTGCCACCCATGAACATCTGGCCCGAGTTCGACCGCCTTTAAAAGAATCAGTGAACGATTACCTCAATCGTTGACGCTCGATCTCACCTGTTGCTCACTGCGAGTTGCAATTGAGGAAATGAGCAGCAGATGAGGCCTGGAAACAAAGACTTGCAGAAACAACCTCATAACAGTGGTTCACTAGTTCACATGTGTAACTTTGATGCATTGAATGCTATACGTGAAGTAGAGTTCGTTGAAGTTGGAGGTGAAGTTATTGACTGCGATCTATCCAAAAGGTGGTAATGTAGATATGAGATCTTTCCGCTCTGAATATTGCCCCATAGCAACAGATGTTGAAGTAGTGACTATCGCTCACTCTTACAGACCACTACCCATGCTTTTCCCTGGCGACAGCGCTGAAACTGTTTGACCGGACTTATGTTCTTTAATCCCGTTCCGCATGATTATTCGAAGATAATAGTTACCTAACAATTCTACCGATCTCCTTTAACTACCATTCCTCCAGTCTTCTATATACCAAAAGCGCAAAGAAATGTGGAGATATCTCAAAATTTTATTTTCTCGTTTTCAAAGGCTGAAGCGGCAGCTTAAACATCAAATCCAAGACTTATTTCCCAGCCAATCAGAATTTCTCCCAGATCCATCTGCCGCCTCTTCTGAATCGGAACGCACACGACGATCAGCCGCCCCGTCCCCAGAGGTGTCCGCCAACGAAGATAGTATGTCACAACAAGGAGACAACAGAGATCTCGATCAGTTTTCAATTCGCCACGAAAGGGCTCTCAGGGCAGACTCAAACTAAACTGATCTTCAGTTCCAGAGCCTGCGACAAGAGCAACGAGCTAGGCGACTCTGTTATGACAGAACGAGAGTCTTCGGGTGGCCACTTTCGTGCAAAACATGCGACAGTTGCGAGAGAACGTAAGTGACCATATGCCATGCACGAGTATCAACTTTCTATATCAATGAACATTATGGTCGCCACTGGAGGCATGTCATCGATACAGCCCAACTGCAGCGGTTTGTCGTCTGAGAAGATTCGAACGACTGATTGCGACGGCTCTCGCCAACCTAAGTGCACCCGAGGGTTTGTCGCTAGATTTGCCCCTTTGGATAGTCCTTTCTGATTTTTGAGGCCTCATCGGGACACATGGCCACAGCAACGCTGTAGAACATACTACTTGGCCATGGATGCACCACAGCAACCGAATCCTGAGTTTCCGATTGAATCATGAAGTTTTTTGGCTTGATGCAGACTCGCATCCAACAAACGCAAAATTCGGTGGGCCCACTTTTTTGGGTCGACATCATCCAGGTCGCCAACATCTACTGTGTGCTTTGTCAGACCGATGATGAAGACCATGCGAACGAGCGTGTGATCTTGCGCTGCCGTTAGTGCACATCCCTCTCTCATATATGCTGCGCGGAAGAAATGTTGGAAAGGCGAGACACAAGTTTTAGCACATCACGCTGCGTGTGATTAGTGTGGATGAGCTTATTCCTGCGACGACCAAGACACTGATGGTCACAGTCAAAACCAAGGAGCCCTGAACCCCTTCTTTCGCCCTTTACGAATCCCCTCGTCGGATGCCGACATTCTGTCCACACGGCAAACGAATCGTATCCCCCTGGTGGGCCCCGTCGCTCAGCCAGACTAGCAGTGGCTCATCTACCGCGAGGGCCGTCAACCTCTGCCCCGCTTCGCCGGTCGACACGACCCGATTCCACTCAGGGTGGGTGATCACAGGTTACAGGCGAGGTAATAGATTTTTGGAACAGCTTAGCAAGAAATGAAATCCTGATCGTTCAAAAGGACAACGCGACCATTTCATCTTTGCATGTGCTAGACACCATTACACCTGAGCCGAGTAGGTCAGCTCTCCTGGATTTCATTGAACCATATACCATCGAGGCGGACGGCCAAAATTCAAGGCGCCATGGGAGGTGGTTCGAACACAACTGATATGAAGCGCATTTTATTAAGGCACCACAGGATAACCGTTGCTTGCAATTAATGTCGTCCTCAAAACATCATGAAGACCATTCCTTGTCACTGTAGTTGTCATTGCGTGTCTTGGGAAACTGCCGATTAAGCCATATCTGGGGTCAGCTTCGGTGTAATTGCAGGTGAACTTACACAGTTTTGGAGTACACTGCCGGCGGCGGAAGATCCGATGTCTCATCGCAGCAGGCCATAGACAGATGTTGTCAGAACTGTGTGCGGCTACGGAAGGATTGCCGGCTTTACCGAGTCAATCAAAAGTCAATCAAAATCTCGAGCTTCGGCTAGATCAATCTTCAGGACTCTCAAATAATTTGGTTTTGGGCATAAGCGACCCAAGCAGCGAGATAACATTGGCAGCGAACCCTGGCCAGTTCTCGACGCGGACCGACCCCCGGACTGTGCGACATCAATATAGGGCTTCCACGCCGGTTCCAACCATCGGTGCCTCTGAACCCCAATTGGTTGTCGAAGTCGCCTGCTCATTCTTTTGCACGTCAGAGTGATACCTTGCACAATATCTCTAGCTCTTTTCCAATAATGCAGGTATCACCGGGTCCGTTTCATACATGACGGAACCCAAGACGGGCTTAACACGATGGAGTCTTGCGTATCATAGCACTTCGGTGGTGATATATAAGAGTAGTCAATTCGGGATTTGAGCTTGGCTGGTAGCGCCTGAGAAAAGAACAAGACTGTCTTCAGTTCCTTCACAGATTGCTCTATGTCCTATTGTTCTTAGCACAGGAAATGTATAATCGATTGCATTGCACAAGTCAAGAGAAATCACCCCATGAAGAATGAATTTTACTTCAAGTCCCGCTGCTTACGATAAGAGCAGTCTACAGAGACACCACTTTAATGCCCTCGTTTCTTCGGTTATAATTGCTCATGAATTGGAGCACAAACTTTTCCCATGGAAAGAATCATGGGCAGCAAAGCTCATGGCAGAAAGCCTAGCTGGACTCAGCTGATAAATATGAGGAATAGTCGACTTCGATAATACTCGTTCCAACAGGCAACGGCTCCCCCGTGGAAATGGCGGCTACTCTAGCGAGACGTGCTGCGATCGAAGTAGAATGGGTATTTGCAGAAGTCTCCTCTTCGGTCATTTGCTGCAGCATCTGGTCTCTTGGGCGTCGGATCTCATTGTTGACCGTTGTCCGAAGCTTTTCGAGATGTCTCAACACAGCCTCGATTTCCGAAACACACTTGCCTGTTCGCAGTGCCTGATGTGCTGCTGTCTCACAAAGCTCATGGGCTATTTTCAAGTGCTCATCAGCAAAGTCAGTGACTTGCTTTTTCTGGCTTTTTCCGGAGCCAGAGACACTGGTCACGCAGGATCCGGTTTGTGCGCGGCGAACGAAGCTTGATGCAACTACCAGTGATGGATCCAATTCTCTCATTTGATGATTCGCCAGACAAAGAGTTTTGTCTACTGTCTTTGGAAGAAGGCGCGTCTGCATCACCGATATTTTTGCTCGTCGTATATTGCCCCTGCAAATAGCAATATCCCGGACGACCTCTTCAAGCACCTTCTGTATATGGCCGTCATACTCGATTATAACCTTGTGTCGTTTGTTCACTGGAGCGAATGGCTTGTTTCGGCCGATAGATAGGTCTTCGTCCACGCGTCGCTTGCGACCAGAGCATTGGATTGAGTCCACTGAACTTTTGGCCTTAGCCATAGTTTTATCAAAATTGGAGGTATCTCGCTTTTGTTCGATGCGCACGACCTCGTTCGGTTGCACGGGTCGTATAGAGTGGTTCGTAGGACATCGCAGCCGGAGAGGTTTCTGTCCGTGACAGGCTTCATAGTATTCGGTATGGTTGGTAAATTTGTGAGCAGCGAGGTCTTTCATGCGGCTGATCAACGCCGGTATAGTGCCTTGAAGATAAGAGAAGGCTTCCACCGTATCCATATGGGCCAAAGCTATATAGCAACACGCCCAGTTTATGACTGAACAGGTTCAAGGTCGCGTGTAGAACTATTCAAATTTGAGTGCGAGAGGAGTTGACGAAGTTTTGTCCAGGAATTTCAGAATTTTCTGTACCTTGACTGATGACTATCTCAGATGAGCGAGGAGGTTGGAGAATGTGATCCATGGCCTTAGATTGCATGTCGATCAATGCTCAAGGCTGGATAAGGACAGGGCTAAGGACGATGAGGAAGGGATCGACAAGTGTATTTGGAATTGTAGCTACATTTTACTTGGGTTTATTACAATCCAGTCAATCCCCAAATGATTACAAACAAAGCAAACCATCCAAAAAAGTCTGTTCAACAGCGGTGCTCTTCATCGCGTACTAAGTAAGTTTGAAATCGGGGCACTGAGGTATAATTTTGATGGTGTTGTTGTTCATAGGTATGCATTGACTTGTTATTTCAGAGGGATACATGAGCCTATATTTACAATAATTGGCCAAGTTGATTTCCAATCAACTTGATCGTCTGTATAGACACTTCGGAGCTAATTCCGACGGTGCGGCTTGGTTCCTGATCTACATCAGCCTCATATAACAACAAATCCATTGATCCAGGAAAAGCCAAAAGCATTTCTAAGAGCTGTTTGTTCTCTGGGAACCCGTTTTTAGCCCCTGGGGCCATTTCCTGTTTCCAGGAAACCGAGTTTTACCACTAGGATCCCCACTATACGAACCTGATTGAGCACGACCTGTTGCTTGTTCTGGGGAAAACCCTGGATAAGGCTTTGGCTAAGTTTTACCAGCCTAGTTGTTAACCATTTCTGGGATAATTCACTCTTTTGGCATCATCGAGTTCAGTTCGCTGACACTGGGGTTGAATGTTATTTGGCCGATATTAGGGCTTAGCTCGCTACGCGAAAAGAGCCAAGCCATAGCGCACAGAGAACAGTTTGCCGATCACCTTGTGATTGGATTTGGATGCAAGCCACCAACCCGACCGAACCACACCCACTTCATCCTTGTCTGTTTTTTTTTTTTTTTTTTTTTTTTTTACATCTAACTGTATATGCTTACTTTCTATCAGTGGCATCCAATAGGTTTGCGTAAATGTATGTCGGAAGGGTCCATACGAGCGGACTGCGGAACGTCGATATAGTAGGGTGTTTGCGTTGATCCATCTTCTCAGGGTCAGGCGCACGGTCCACGCGCTATGGCCCCTTCAATATTTACCCCTGAAATACTGCTTTCCACCTTCGTGCAACCCTTGGGTTGCGCATATTGTGCTGGCGACAGATCAGACAAAGCAGCTGACGATCGGATCGACAAAATATAAAGGGACTCGGCCCGCTTCCGCGGCTCGGCTTGATCGACCTAAAACAAGGATAATTTCCAAATACCTCCTGATCGGGACAGACCGCAAGAACAAATAATCGGCAAAACTGCACAATTTGTGAAAATGTTCAAATGTTTGGCCTTCCACAAGGATTGTGAACTTGAATTATCATTGGCAGACGTTGGTCTCCCCATCCCAGTCGCCCTTACCGGTGCCTATTTGAAGAAGATATTCGACTACAGGCCTTCGTCCCCCGCGAGACTTCTTGGTTTCCACTACTTTCCCAGCCATTCGATAGTGGCTAGCTCTGCATATGATCAGTCACTAATATATGGAAAGTTGTTCGCCCATCACGCAAATAAAACAAGAAAAAGGCAATTTTCGTATTCTAGCACCAACTGTTCGCTAGCTCCATCCCTCTCAAAGTGACTCAAAGAGCACTGCGAGCAAATTGTGTACCAGCGTGGACCGCAAAGGTCGCAAATGGGCCCCAAAGGCTGCTCCAACGGTATGCAATGGCTTCGCCAATATTACTGACAAAACGTCACTGACTGGTAGTGCACGGCACGATAGATTGGGTTCCCTCATTCACGACATGATGCTTGCGACAATAAACCTTTGACAAGCGAACCTTGTCTCACCCCAAATGCGAGGGCCCTGAGAAGCCAAATCACCACTTGGTCCATTGGGCTTGCGACCAGTGGAAAAGACTATATCATCAACGAGTTTGGTGGCAGACTCTATGGCTCTGCCAAGACTGAGCAGCTAATTTTCCCTCTGCTGGAGGAACTTGGACTAGGCGTAAGTCATAAGACCAAGTATCTAGAAGAATGCTCACCCGAGTAGGATCTGGATATTAAGATAGAACGGATTCCTTGCGTCCAGCCGACTCTCATAGCTAAAAAAATACCATTTTGATCCCTATTGGTTTTGTGCAAGGAATGCCGTTGGCTGTAATGCGTGAAGGTCAAGCGATACAACTAAAACTGGGATAAATCCCTGATTTTTGGAGAACATATTGTAGGCGCTTTTCGATGATACAACATTGGGTCTCTCACAAGTGAGGCTTTCCAGTGTGAAGAAATTCGTGTTTCCAGCACGAAGTTCGGGACTTTGAGGATCCAGAGCCAATTAGAAGTGTTGGGATATTATCGACGGGCATTTCTGGCTTTCGACCCAACACTATTGCCGAAGATTTTGGCCTCATTGAGCAGAGCTGAGGATGTCACTTACAGTATTGGGTCGAACCAGCTTACTAATATGGAGAGGTGCTTGGACAGAAGTAAGTGACTCGACTCTGAGGTTGATCTAGCCTTTAACAAAACTACAGCCAATTTGGCTTTGCAACCGGCCAATATATTCACTTCACTTGCGCCAGATCGTTTGAACGCTGCTTTCCAAACCATTCCCGAGATTCAGCAGACAAAACCTGATCAAGTCGTCGCCTTGGAGATGATACATGTCAAGTCATTCGAAGAAGCATACAAGTTGAAGAAAATTGGTAAGTCCTTGTAATTTGAATTGTGCGAAAGAAATTGCTAATAGTTGCAGAGCCCACCATGATTCGTGTTTTTCATCTTAAAACTGAGAGCGAATATCGGAAACCCAACATATCTCTCAAAATATGCTTTGGAAGATCCCGAGAGTGGTGAATCAAGACGTATGTATGAACAATGAGGTTATCATGTTGAAAACATTGGCAAAGCCCTACGCGCTGGAAACCAGATCATCCACATGGTTCGCATGGCCCACGTTGCAATTTTTCTCTTAATAAGGGACTTGATCCGATTCTTAGTCTGCCCCGGCGACTTCGCCCAAACCGCAAAACAATTGTCAGATTCCCCAGATTTTATGATATCGGTCGGTTGCCAAATTCGGCCTCATGTGTGGTATTCGTTCATGTGAAAGCGACAGCCAGCCGTGACGGGCCCGAGGGAAAGGCTTCGCAGGAGCTTAGTACGCTTGACATTTGAGGTATAGTCAAAAGGACTGTGAGAGAGGAATGAATATGATGTGTTCGGCGGAAAAATAGAGAGAGCTTAGGATTACCTCAACCAAAGGTAGGCTAGAAATGTGTTTGTATCGTCCAATATAGAAGGATCTGTGAATTCCTTATCCCTACATACCATGGGTTAAATGGACAGTCCATTAGTTCCCGGATCCTTGTAGCCCCCAAGAAACTTGAAACAGACTTTACAGCCTCGTGCCCATTTTTTTAAAAGATAAGGCTATGCTCCAGCTACCAGGCTCACTACCTGCTCTGTGGGGCTCTCACGTATGAATTGAGGTGGTCAGTATCTTAATGTAAACGATCAATGTCAAGACCGATTAAATGTAGTCAATTCTAGATACAAGCCATCGCGCGAGGAGGCGAAGAGAGACTGCCTCGCAGTCTTGTCCGTTGTTTGTGCTTCACCTATCTCCTTGCACCCCTAAGCTGTGTGTCCCTGGTTCATTTGGAGACTCAAATTTCCATGTACAGTGTTGTTGATTGAATGCACTAAATGAGGATGAACGCGGAGGATGGGCACTGTGGTGAACAAACACTGCGGTGAATGAACACTGCGTTGAAACTGCGATTGAATTCATTACATATTCAAATAAAAAGTTAGCCTTTGCTTAAAAAGACCAGGTGAAAAATTTATGTATCAGTAAGAGAAGGGCATTGTATAATTAGTATATGTATAGAGCCATGTTGAAACACTCCATCGATATCACAAATTGCGGTTCATGTTGTGGAAGCCCCGTTTCCCCATACCATTTTCACCGCCACCCGATTTCAAGTTAGCGACTAGATAAATGAGTATGGAATGGGGCTCATGCTAATTCCGCTCAATTGGGGGAGGAAAAAAAAAGTGAAGAAACAGCTAAAAAACAGTAACTGCAAAGAAAGTCATCAAATTTAATCCGTCCATATAAGTATGGCTTCCTCTTGATGTTGACCTGATTTTGAACGTTATGAAATTCCCCTTGCACCTCAATTTCCCTGTTTTACTCCCAAAGCCCCAAATGAACTCAGAGAAGTTTCCATAATGAAGTCCTCACATCCCTTTTGATGCTGACTGCCTCCACCATCGCGGCAACCGTCACGAATCTTTTCCCAAGCACTTCCACCTCAAGTGAAGCGGCGCCACCAACCAAGAGCACAATAAGATTTATCTCTATGCATACCATACGGGCTCAGGCCTCAGTGATGCCGCCTTGACAAAAGATGTGAACACTGCTAGCTCCATTTACATGAACGGCACAAATGCCCGCTTCGACTTCAACACTAAATTCCCTTGGGGATTCGTGGCCACTGGTGACACCAAATATACCTGTAAGTACCCGGCACTAGAATTAAATACGGTCTAACGAATTTTCATGCAGATTGGATCCCGATCTTGATAAACGCAGGCCAAGGAAGCGATGGATTCTCAGTCAAGGGCAACAAATTTGTGTGGTCGGAGGCTAATGGTTTCGGTGGATGGCTCGGTAAGACCACGGCATCGTTGCTTTTCTCTAGAGGGCCATTTCATTCTAATATTAACAGTCTGCGACTGGTACCACAATGTGCCACAGCTGTTCTACTTGAACAGCTACCACAACGCCACAATCCCCACCAGCTGCAGCAAGATCCAACTGAGGACCGAGAACATCAATTAACTATAGTAGCATCTGGGAATAACTTCGCCCCCAGAAATTCCAACAGAGGCTCTTGGCTCTTGTGGCCCCACTGTCAGAGGCATAAATGAAGCATTACCGAGCGGATGGAGATATGATTTGCGCAGACCCACAGGGTGTATATGGGCTTCCCTTTACGCAAGGAAGCTACCGTGCCTTTGCCTCCTAGCGCTACATCTTGTATCTAATATTGACCCCAGTTCTTCTTGATACTGATTATTTATCTACAGATCTCAGTCTCATCTACGTATACCTGATACCCTCACGCGGTTTCCGCGGATAGAAACGCAGCTTAAGGGAGCTAAATAGCCTCAAGGAAATTCTTTTGAACTTTTGAAGTCTTTGTATCTTAACCTAGGGGAAGCAAAGTCATGTTTTCCTTGACGGTCTCATCAACTTCTGGAACCTCAAGTGCGGTTCCTAAGGCTATAGCTATTCTCCCCAAGAGCCGCTAGATGACTCATATCTGTGCGTAGGTCTGGTGCATGTATCTCGTCAGGGCTTTCCGCAACCTCAGGAGGCAGAATATTGACTCTAGGATCCAGAAGCAGGGTCCCAGGAGCGCAACAGCTCCTTGATCCGGCCAATGTGTTCCCGAAACCAAATTGTGCTCAATCAGGATCGTATAGTGGGGATCCCAGGGGTAGAACTTGGTTTCCTGTAAACAGGAATTGGCCCCAGGAGCTAAGAGGAGTTCCCAGTGGATAAAAATTTCCTAGAATCGCTTATGGCGTTTCCACGATCTATGTGTTGGTTCCCAGAGTCAGATTAATAATGATTCTCGATTGATATAGACGAGCTACTTTTGCTACGTCGTGAGGCGGTACGGATAGAATTGTCGACACTCCCTTGCCGACCCGCGAGCTGTGTTTTCTGCCGACACAAGTCTTCGCGCTCCACAAGGCTCAGCTGAACTCGCTGTCAGCATTACTCTAGCCGCCGCCGTTAAGTATGATGTACAAACCATTTTTATCTACTGGTCCTCATTTTCGAGCTAAGACATACTTATCTCAGACGAGGAAAAACTTCCGGTAGCATTTTTAGTCTCATCAACATCTAGCACTTGCAAATGTGAATCAGTGGCGAGGCGCGCTGTAGGGTAACGATCAGGATTCTAGGAAGAGCAGTAGTAGCTTCAAGAGTCAAATAATTGGCTGGCGAAAAACAGCGAGAGCCTTTTGTCGTTCTATAATGGGCAGATATAAATACTGGACGATGGCATATAGGCAGACCAGGCCTTAGATGATGTTCTTTGTGGCAGCAGCAGGTCTAGACAAGTCCCCGCGAAGGCGGTAAGTAAATACTCTCCTTTCTTCAAAGGGCGGTCTTGTGCTCGGCTGAGAACATGGACCCGAGAAGGGTCCTTTTAATGTCGAGACCTTCCTTGACGTGCTAAGAGGTCTCGGAGATCAATGTTTGATGATATGTGAGGTCCATTGGGTTCCCATGCCTCCTCCTCTCCTTGCTTCTCCCTCATTCCTCCCACCATCCATTCATCTGCGCCACTCTAATGGTCGGCCCTCGTCTTTTTGAAACGATCCAACTCAAATCAGTGTCAACCGAAGAGATCTCCATGGAGAACTACCAGAAAATTGAGAAAGTCGGCGAAGGTACGGACGGTTTTTGACGCGGTTTTTGGCATTGTTGATGCGTTCCTGTCAGAACTCAGCTCACGCGTCGGTTCGTCTCTAGGCACATACGGTGTCGTCTACAAGGCCCGCGAACTGAACCATCCTTGCCGTATTGTCGCTCTGAAGAAAATCAGACTCGAGGCCGAAGATGAAGGTGTCCCTAGCACCACTATCCGCGAGATCTCGCTGCTCAAAGAAATGCAGGACCCGAACATTGTTCAATTGCTGAACATCGTCCATGCTGATAGCCAGAGTCTCTATCTGGTCATGGAGTTCCTCGACCTTGATTTGAAGAAATACATGGAAGCTCTACCGGTCAGCGAGGGTGGTCGCGGCAAGCCACTTCCGGATGAGTCTACTTCGATGGCAAACCTGGGATTGGGCGATGCCATGGTGAAGAAGTTCATGGCCCAGTTGGTTGAAGGTATTCGCTACTGTCATAGTCGCCGTATCCTTCACCGCGATCTCAAGCCTCAGAACTTGCTCATTGATCGTGATGGTAACCTGAAACTCGCCGATTTCGGTCTGGCGAGAGCCTTCGGTGTGCCGCTACGGACTTACACCCATGAGGTAAGCACCGGGTATTCTAAGCACGGATTAGGTTTCAGCTCACCCACATTCTTCCACCTCAGGTCGCTACACTGTGGTATCGCTGCCCCGAGATTCTGCTTGGTGCCCGCCAGTATTCTACTGGTGTCGACATGTGGTCCATTGGCGCGATTTTTGCCGAGATGTACACACGCAAGCCGTTATTTCCCGGTGACTCGGAGATCGACGAGATCTTCAAGATATTCCGGTAGCTTCTTTTCTTCGCTTGGTGATTGACCAATAACTGAATGTGCTTTTCGTTCTTCAGTACCCTCGGCACCCCCGATGAAGCGCTCTGGCCAGATATAACCTCATTCCCCGATTACAAGGCCACTTTTCCCAAGTGGAAACGTCCCAATGTCTCAATTGTCCCCGGTCTGGAGCTTGCTGGGCTCGACTTGCTGGAGGCCCTACTCGAGTACGACCCTGCCCACCGAATTTCGGCGAAGCAGGCTTGCATGCACCCGTACTTGTGCACCCGTACTTCCGGAATGGTAGCTCATACTACTCGGGCCGTCCCAGTCGCAACTTGTCGACTTGACACCGTCATTCATACCTTGCAAATTCAGACAGAGAACAACTGACGCCTCATTGGTGTGGGACTAATAGATGCGCAATTGTAAGTATGGCCTGCACTAGCAGGTGAATGTTGGTGTTGTTGTTCATCGGTTTTAAAAGCTCACTTGGCTGTAAATATGTCTGGATTTGAAACACGGCACTTCTTCCGCATCTCAAGTTTCTAAATTATAAAGGGGATAAAGGCAGGAATAGCTAGAAAGAGAAATGAGACAAGCGCTAGCCAAACTACCTGAATGAGATCTCAGGTTTCAGATTATTGGGTCGGTGTAGGGCTACCCTTTAACGGGGTTTGCAATTCGGCGCAAGCTCAGCACAACCAGAACAAAGCGGGGATGAGAGGGAAAAGCTCGCCAGTCCTAGGAACAAGATTCTAGGTTCTCTTTGGTGATCCCAGGTTGGGCCGCTCGCGGCTGGAAATGGTCAGAAGAAAGAATATGAGCCATCCATTGTGGTTGAGAGGCTCATAATGCACCGCAAAGCCTCAATACAATAGGGCCATTGTAGATTTCGACGGTTCGCCAATGTTTCTTGAACGACCCAGCATTACGTCCGTTAACGTGATTTTATCATGTCTCTCGGTAATCTTTTGAACTGGCATCAAGAAGTCGCTGCAGACAGTCGCGGTATAACGAATAAATTGGTTTCAGCCAGCCTCGGTTAGCATTGATGTCCTAGTTACAACGCTTGCTACCAAGCACTTATGTGAACGAAGCCGAGAAATCTATCAAATCGTTCTTTGCCACCGAAAACTTTGCTCTAAAATTGAATTGCTTGACTATCCAAAGCCGAGCAGGCCTTGTAACTCAGCCACTTGAGAATTTGTGCCCCATCAAACCAGAACTGGTCTTTCCACTGTACATATTTATGCATTATCTCTTGGACCAGCAGGTCAGGGCCTGTGAGATATTTGATGTCCGCTGGATGCACTGCCATTCACGCCCGCCGATCAATGATACGAAAGTTGAGTTAGCTGGGCAAGGTGTCTATGCAAATATTTCTGCCATATGGCGGCCTACTGAGCTGATCTACTGTATTGTCATTGCACCACGTCGCAGGTATGTCAGTATTAGCTTGATCTGTCCGGAATCATACTGATCGTTAAGACGATGCGATTTGGTAGGATCGAGAAAGCTAACCACTTTGCCCAAGCGCCAGAGCCACCCGCTCTTTGCCGTCTCTTCGTCCTGGTCTTGGCCACCAGAACATGTGAGACATGGATTATGTTGCCGATCAATCAGCTCATAAATTGCAGTGAACTTTTGACATTGCACCAGGCCCGGGACGGTCCTTCATATTTCTCATACATTGTCAGGCAAACCTGCCAGATTGTGTCTCAAATGATTCCAGTCATTTAGGACGCCAATCAGCCTGTCCCGCGATAATTCCAGTGCCTGCTCAAAAAAGCGCAGCCGAAATAGCTGTTTGCCGTGGCGAACCTGAAGACCAGCTCTCTCTTTTCTCAGGTGCGTACCAGCTTCCTTCAAGACAAGGTTTTCTTGCTCTAGCTTCTCGCCATCGATGTGCTTGGACACACACGACTCCCATCGAGGTCGATAGATTCCGACAAGTCGAGCTGTTGGAAAGCCGAACTTGGGATCGTCGCTCTCAAGGTCTGCTCGAACCTTCAAGATCGGTTGGAACGGCTCGGTCGCCAGGGTGTGTCTTGTTCCTGCTTTTTGCTGCGCAGTGGAGGGCTGCAATGGTCAGCAAAAGCGTTTGAACCCGAATCGTTTCACTAACCAGTGGGACATGGTCAGAGTTTTCCTGTGATTTGTCTTTTTCATCAACGATAGGCAATCCACCTTTTTTCTTGGCGTGGCGAGCTGTTCTGGGTCTCCATTTTGTCGCAAGAGAAAGTCACGGGTCTGGACAATACCATTTCCACCGGTCCTTCGCGTTTTATAGACTGCGCAGACGCAGGCGAATATGCAGTGGATCTTACGGTTACCACAACTGTCAATTGATGCAGTCAAAATTTGACAAAAATTTTTGTTAGTTTTCGGCGGGCTGTTGACAGTGTATTCAACAAGAGTGATAGTCGGTCGGGGAAACTCATCAAGCCTCACGGTGTTGGTGTTCATAGATGAACGCCTGGTGAGGATATACATTCCAATCAGACACCTCTTTCCCTTTCGTTGAACGCCTCAGAAATCCGACAACTCGAATATTGTAGGACTTGCCGTCATTAAACAAATGAATTTAGAAGAAAAACCATTTTTTTTTTAACAATGTATTTTCATGGTCACAAGTTCGAAAATTGAGTGTTGACAACGATGGGCTAAGCTTCAACGGGTTGACGAGTCGAGCACATCCTACTGTGAGCTCGCTTTCCGCAGTCTGGTCAGACAGACCCACAGCTCAACACAACCAACACCACTCTAAATCGAGGCTAGGAAGAAAGTCAATGATTCTGAGTACGCAATTGTAGGCGATTTTCGGTGATTCAACGTTGAGTCGCCCACAGGCGAGGTGACCAGAAAATGAAAATGAGACTGAGATTGCATTTCCCCCAAGCCTCAGTTTTAGAGAGCGTCAAGATTGAACGAGCCAACGTTTCTTGACCAGCTCAGCATTCTGCTTCTCAACAAACCTCTCAATTGTCGCCCTCGCTGAGGATTTAAAGGCATCAAGAATGTCGTTGCAAATAGATGCGGTGAAATGAAGACACTGGCTTCAACAGGGCTCAATTACGAGAGGTGTTCCCAACCCTTCAATCGAGCAGCGCACGTAGCACGTAGGCAAATTTACTAGCCCAGAAGCCTATAACTACGTGCTCTTCCCCCGGCGATCCGCTCTGCAATTCATTCACCTCACTCTACAAAGTCATCCAGGCTTGCGTCTGAGTCACCTGATAAGCTCTCTTTTTTGACACAGAATCAATCCACTGTACTGACAGTTATAGGATACATCGAGCATTGCAAGCCAGAAAGTGCCTTTGAGATATATAGGTACAATGATTCACATCTGATGCACTGCCATTTACACCAGCCGATTAAATACATGAGTCTTGATTGGCTGAGAGGTGTCTGTGCACATGCTTCCGCTACAGCAGCGCACTAGCTGATCCACTGTACAGCTGAGTACACTCACAAAGCAGAAGCGCGAAGATCGTGTCGCAGGTACGTCAACAATGTATGAAGAAATGGCCAGCTTGAATTACGAGAACCCTCCTCGCTGTTCTCTTCCGTGAGTCACCTTGCCATGATGCTTTGAATATAAAGGGTCCTGGCGTAATTCAAGTTCTTCCAAATCAACCGCCAGCATGAGAGCCTCTGATGTGGGCGCAGAGCGCCGACTGCCTCCTCTTCCCAGATTTTGCCGCTTCCTTCTCGCAGTCCTTTCAACTCGTTCAACGCAAAAGAGGCCTTAATTTCCACCACTCTGGACCTCAGGACAGTGGGCAGCTGCCGATCACGTCGCTGCTCCCTGTTCACCAACCAACTCGGCCAAAAGGTCCCGACAAGAAGGCTTTGCCATGCAAAAGTCCGGTGCAGGACACTGGCCTAACGACTTCTGTCAGAATAAATCATAACCCTTGTGGCCCCGCAAAACCTCAACCACAAAGCGTCCGAGGTATGTGAATCTCGGCCTGGCCCATCTCACTGGTCCTGAAGACGACGCGATTGAACTAGAACCGAGTGCATTCGAACAATTGCAGAGCGCAGGGACCAGTGAATTGAGGTGCCCCTCAGAAGGAGAGGGTCCCTTCGTCCATGGTGCTGACCACTGTTGTTGTTCAGAGGTATGAATTGTCTGTTATTTCAAAGTGATACATGTGCCTATATATAACAATGAGCCAAGTTGATTGGAAATCAACTTGGTCGTCTGTATAGACACTTCGGAGCTAATTCCGACGGTGCGGCTTGGTTCCTGATCTGCATCAGCCTCATATCACAACATTCCCCCTCAGGATCGCTTTGCTGGCAAGGCGATACTGGATACGCTGTGCAGGCAAGCCTCGGTAAAACCACTCAAAAACCTTAGTGGGAAAATAAAGTGGAAAGAGCGCCTGCGCTGTCACGTTTGTTGCCACCGAGTCTCCAAGGCTTCGATCCCTAAGAGACTACAGAACTTGGCGCAATGGCTTGGCGAGACCGTCAGCGGCCTGTTCCGCAGTAGGAACATATTGAAGACCAATCTCGCCAGCATTCAGCACTGCTCGCTGATAGTGGAATTTCACGTTGAAATGTTTGTTCCGTTTGTGGAACTCGGGATTGCGCGAGAGGGCAATCGCGGACTGGTTGTCGGCCATGATGTTGGTGACCGGAGACCGATACAACTGGGTCTCGGCCAGGAAGGTGCGGAGCCATTGCAAATGTAGAATGGCATTGTATTGTCCAATGTACTCGGCATGAGTCGTCGACGTGGCCACTTCCCCCTGTCTCTTCGACGACCAGGAAACTGGTGCGCCTGCAAGTTGGAGCACATAGCCAGACGTGGAGTATGCCCCATCAGTGACGACAGAGCCGCCAAAGTCGGCATCTGTGTATCCAATTAATTGTCCGCTGCGGTAGGTGATGCAATGGTATTGTGTGGCTTTGACATAGCGAAGCAATCGCTGCAGGGCGACCTGGTGGTGCGATTGCGGCTGAGACGTGAAGCGACTCAACGTGCCCAGCGCAAACGCAATGTCCGGTCGCGTTCCAACCATCAGATACATCAACGAACCGATGGCGGTTGCATATCGTGCTTTGCCTTCCTCGTCTGGAGGTGCTTCATCCGGACGATGATTCAAAACTTGCTTGGGATTCATCGGGGTGGTCTTCGCCTGACATGTTTCCATGCCAAAGTCAGACAGAATCTTTTGGATGTACTGGTGTTGGTGAATAGAAACGGCTCCGTTGGCATGGTAGTCGAATTGGATTCCGAGGAATGAACGCGGAGTTCCAAGGTCGTTCAATTGAAACTCCTTCTCCAATGATTGTTGCACTTGTTTGATTTCGTGCGAATTGGCTGCCGTAATGAGAAAGTCATCGACGTAGACACAGACCACGCAATCGGATTTGTAGAACACGCAGTTGTCCGATTCTGCCATGGTGAAGCCATGGGCGGCCAGCACACGGTGGACGCATTGGTACCAAATCCGCGGGGCCTGTTTGAGTCCATACAAAGAGCGGCGAAGCCGACATACGTAGCCTGGCTCTTCGAATCCTTCGGGCAACTCCATGTAGATGGAAGAGTCCACGTCACCGTGTAAGCACGCTGTGACGGCGTCGAATTGGTGAAGCTTCCATCCGCGTAATGCGGCGCTGGCAATGATGCAGCGGACCGAGTCCATTCGTGACACCGCAGAACCCAAATACTCAGTAATAGGACGAATTGGGCGACAGGTGAAGCCTTACAACCCATATCGCAGATGATATCCCTAATGGTGGTCTGCAAGTGTATTCCTGATGCATTGGATCCTAAATCAAATAGAGTTCGTTGAGGTTGATTGTAACATTATTGTGACTGCTACCCATCTGAAGGGCGGTGATGCGGATGTTTCGATTCCAAATAGTGCTATCATGACAGTTACATTGAGTAAATATCACTTGCTCTTCGAGACCCACCAAAACGTTTGATCGGAGTCATGGTCTTCTATCCGGTTCCGAATGATCCTTTGGATGTCATAGTCACTTCTCATTTCTACAACCACCTCAAACTACCATCTTGTCTGTCTTCTATATACTACAAGCGGAAACCAAATTGGGACTTGTCAAAAAATGCCAAATCCTTGTTTCTCAAAGCTTAAGCGAAAGTTTCGAAATTCATTCAAAGTCTTTTCTCCCAGTCGACCAAAATATCTCCCAGATATACCTGCCACTCCCTTTAAATCCGAAAGCACGCGGCGATCAGCTGCCCCATCCCCGGAGATATCCCCACCAAACAACTAAGGCCGCGAAAAGAAACATGTAATTCCAAATGATTCAAGTCTATCCGCTGCACAGGTCGTTGATAGAAGCAGTCCGCGACCTTTTCCACTCGCATACAACATCTTGTGGCACTGGGTAGATCAGCTCAGATGCATCCAGTGCATGTCTATACCAGTAGTGGAACTAGATATCTGGAATCAAAATCATCCGTAGAAACACATAACACACACAGCACGAATGGAGCTGCAACGATTTGAAGAACAATCTTCACTCCTTCACACGCCACATCTACCACCAGCATAATGGGCACTGCAACCGTCAATGCAAATACCCCAGCTCCAAGCGCTAAAGCCTTGGCTGCATTCTTCCTGAGTCTTCGTCTTCTTTCCCGCCAGGTTTGGCGTGGCACCGATGGATCAGGCGTGGTGGCTGGCGGATGCATATGGGAATGGCCTTTTGTGGTCGTTGGTGGGGAGGCATGGGGAGGAATTTCCGGGTGCGCATCTTGGGTCTGCGCTGCGTATGGTGGTGGTCCATTTTGTAGAGCCGGCATTTCGAACTTTTCTGGTTTCTGGTCTCTTTGGTGGGTCCAGGGAAGAAGGACGTGGTAGGGAAGAAGGGCGTGGCAGAATAAGAAAGGTTGAGGGTCTGTCATGATATTTATATGTTCAATGAGAGGGGCTACTAGGTTGAGATGATGCAGCATGCCGCCATGGATATGCGGCATCCGTTCCGCGAAGCATAAAGCTAGATCCCAGGAACGCTGGAGCGAGCACTCGGCGGACTCAGTTCATGGGCTGTCATACGTTGCTGCTTTCAGTATCCTTGAAATCCATAACCGATCCCGTTCGGGAGCTCAGGACAATCTTCCCAGAACTGTGTGAATGAATCTGGTCCTTTTTGAGAGGCGCCACAGCAAATCTTCTGGTTCAGTTCCCAAGCGCCCTCGAGCCGGGGGGCGGGGTCCCCCAGAGACCCCCTTTATGGGGGTCGGCGAGGCAATTTCCAATTGCCGGGGATGCCCCCCAAGGCGACGGGGAAGACTCGACTCTTCAGCCTTTGTGATCCACTCGGTCTAAGCCGTTATGACAAGGTATTAGGAATTGTTAATTGTCGGGTTTTACTCCGGACCTATGGTCTTTGCCCGCCGCTCGCCATACACCTCTTGGTGTGGCTGTTGACCGCACCTTACTGGCGTATGATGTGATGAAGGCGTGCAAACAAGTACCGTATGGCAATAGTATCGTATTCAACCCTCATTAACTATCTCAAGCGGATTATGCGACCTCACTTCTGGAACTGATCTGACAATGGGCATTCATCTAACGGAAAATTGCCGACAGTTGCTGCACTGCAAACACTGCCATGGTCATAACCGCCCAAGTCACAGATCTAACCTGCATCGCCTTCCTTCAAGATCGATTCCCATCCAATGTCCAATTACGTCTGTAACAACTTGGATTTATGTCTTGTGGGCGCTTACGATGCGCGTCCAGATGTTGACCAAATGTCCGTTCAGCTAAAAGACCCCTCCGTCAGGTTATGCGTCTCCATATCAAAGATGAAGACAGCAATGAAGGGGAAAACCATCACCAAAGATCCTTAGATCGCCTGGCTAACCCCTCCGTAATACATGATCTCTTAATATGGGACGGTCTCATCCTGGCCAAATCTCTCAAACAAAGCATTGTATCTATGGACTCGGCCGGCAAGACATTCTCCGATAATGGTGAGGAACAAGCCCAGGAAGACCTGAATGCACATGCAGTAAACCCAAGGCCTCTCGTGCTCCCGGAGTCATGACGGTCGAGCGATAAGCGACAATCCCACAGTGGCGAAAAGGACCGAGGCAACGGCCGCCGGAATTGCGTACTCACGGAGTTCATCCATGAGTTGTGTGAATGTAATGTCGGCGATTCCGTTGGCGGACGCGAACAGATCCGCACGCGCTCGGTCTCGCAGTATGGCCGCAAGATGCGCGGTAGTCGAATTGAGGCTGGCGAGGGCGAGCGCTGCAATGGTGATGGATACGACCACGATTCGCATCCCCCATGTAAGTCTTGCGGGTCATGGCATCGCTTGATTATTGGTGCAGCGCAGCAGTTGACGAATCTTTGACTGTAGAGAGTGGTTGAACGTCTCGGTGGGGGTGAACTGATAGCATGTAATACTATCTTGCGGGATAGCTTCTTTATACTCTTCCGGCTGGACACGGGGGTGGCACCTGCTGCAAAAAGTCTGCGGTATAAGCGAGGAAGGCTCCCAGGAGCCGAGGTGCAATTCCCGGAGTTCGTTCAGCCGAACCAGCTTGAGCTAGGCAAGATGGAACCTCAAAGCAGACATATTACTGTCAGCCCCTGCGATATGCGATCCATCTTCATGGTCCGCTGGCGTCAAGAGGCTGAGTGATGGCCTAAAGAATCTCAAAGACTAAACTTCCTAGCCTCTTCTAAGAATGTCATTCCCTCATTCGATAATCAATCTCAGGATATGCCAAGTGAGCTTTACCTCATATTCCTCCCCGGAGGCGTTTCAATGCACGATATGTCATAGTTTGAATTATATTGGCGCTCAAAGCGAAGAATACTATTCTTCAAACAACCATCCGGAGTACGCGTCCAGCGTAGCAACTCACAGCGGTTACGCGGCCGTGCGCCATGAGGTTAATGAGATTGCTCCTATTGGATCTTTTTACTTTGCAGTAGCTTAAAAAAAGTGGTCTACCAGTAGTTTATGTGGGAATGAGCTGGGCGGAAATAACTGAGGCCGTACGAGAGATATTACTTGGGATATCGAGCGTCTTTCCATTCTTACCCGGGGTACGTACATCTAAAAGATTATTCTAGATCATGAAATAACCCCAAAAGCCAGTCTCTCCAAAAGAGCATCCTGCTGCGAAGCCGCACCGGTACGCCACTCGATTGGTGATCTGTTTTTCACAATTTTTCCATTCCCCGAGCTTGATCAGGATCACACCCACGCTATTTGGTATTTACATCTATGTACCTCCCACTGTAACGTGCCGTACTCTTTCCCCACTTTGTGGATTATCTAAGCTTGGCCAATCTCTTGCGGTCACTGAATGAGTATACAACTGCTGGGTCCCGGACTGGTAAGAGTATCCACAGTCACTGTCAGGCCTTTTTAAGCTCCTATTGACGGTTCAATCAGTGCTAGAAGCTTATCTCCTGACCTTGGGAGCTCTCTTACTCCTAGGGCTTTCTCAAAAGGTTCTGGAGGCAAAGAATCCGCTTCTAGGAGCCACCACCCCCCAGGAATCCTGAAATAGTAGCTAGTCAGATCCAGCGATGAACATGCTTTGATTCCAATCTGGAAAATTCTTAAAGTAAATTATCTCAGCAACTCTGCGCTGTCTTTTCCTTTGCATGGCTCTATCCGACGCATCTCCTTAATATTCTTCAAGTACCACCTCCCTTCCTCATTCTCCGAAGAGTCATGATGCAAATTTGCGATTGTGTTCATTCCAAATATTATCCTTCTTGTTCTTCACGTCACAATTCAAGAAAGCACTATGAACCACCACTTTGACGGTTTCGGCCCATACAACGTAGCCACCTACTCCAAAAATCCCAAAATATCAATGTAGCATAGCCTGGTTCCATCGCAGCAGAATTAGGGGGACCACATATTCCCATTGCAACTTCCTGAAAAAGATCAGAAGATTTCGTTTCATTTCATCAACTGACTCAATCAAGTGTCTTGCTCCTGTGAGCGCTCTTGCTTGGAGCTTTTTAATTTGCTCAGCCGTTCCAATTTTTAGGTTCGAAGTGCTGTCCACTTTAGCATACATTAGCACTTGAAAATTCTTTTGGCGAATATTTTGAATACAGAATCGCGCTCACCTTCGCTCTTTGCCAAAAGCATGAGCAAGATCGGCCGAGAGCTCATGGAAATCTCCAAGTGGCGAAAGGAGTGTTTGCAAAAGCCCAAGATGTCATGAAAACGTCCCTGAGAGACTGGCTCTTCTAGACCATGGACCATAGAGGCTGCGCACATGGGTAGTATTCGAGAAAGTAGACTAATCTCGAAGTGCAAGTCTCTTATCATCCTAAGCATCGTGCCGAATGTGTCGCCCATTCTGTCTCGGGTAACTGGCGATTTTCTTGTCCCTTTTGAATAGGCCGGTAGATATTAAATGTGAGCCAGAAGAATTTTGGTATCAAAAATATGGACAAAGACGGGGCGCCCTATTCTTCTATATGTTCTTGGGTGATTATTGGCAACGAATTGGAGACCCGCTGGCGTGTTGGTTATATGTCATCATACATCCCCTAGCGCTCGAATTGAACTAGTTCGATTGATCCAATTTCAAAGGTACTGCGACACCAATTCCTATGTTGCGGGTCCGTGCACAGTGAAGGACCCATTCAAAAGATTATGGCGAATCGTAAAGTCGAGTAACTTCGTGGCTTGGGGAAAGAGTAACATATCTTACAAGTAGCCTACGCGCTGATTCTATTGACCTGCTCTTTGCTCTCCAATCACTTTGATAAACCTTTGTATTTCATTCCAAAGGCTGCGATGGACCATCCAATTTCGCCTTCCCCATGTGACCGGCCAGCCAAGAGACAGTGCCGGTCTCCCCACGATCCAGAAGATGATAGCAACCTGCAAAGCCACCATCAGCAAGTTGCAAATCCTGTGGCCATTGAGTTTGAGGTTAGTCAAGCCCTCTTGGATAGCAAACGAACGAGATCACTAATACTGCATAGGTTCCAGTGCGCACGCGGGGTTCCCTTACGGCGGAGTTCATGAAACTTCTACAATACAACGACGCCCTGGCTACGCCAGCTCTCAAACTGCTTGATCTGTACTTTTGCCTGTGGGATTGCTATGTCGTCAAGTCTGCCGAGAAAATACGACTTGAAGAAGAGCAGCGACAGCTTCAAGAGTCAAATGAGTGGCTAGCAAGAGACAGCGAGATTCTGCTACAGCTCTGCGATGAGCAGAAATTGATACTTTCGGATCGAAAGCAAGCTGTTCGAGCACTTTGTAATGGTGTTGTTTCAGCTTTGCAATCGAGCAAGACTCAAGCCTACCACGCTGATGGGCCTTGATGACTCTTGGTTCTATTGAGCGCTAGTGAAGACGGTCGCTCTTTGCTGGCTATTTTACTTATCTTTGCTTTATTCTGAATATGATTTCTCTTTCTGAAACCTATCCGATCACCGGTGAAATTCTGATGGGTGCGGCGATGGAATCAACCTTTCACCGCCGTTGATGAATCAAAAGTTTGACATTCGAGAACTTAGCATCGGCCATGAACTGGGATCAGATTATAATTGAATTTCCTGCTCACACTGTGGTATGTAGTCTGTTTCTCTCACTCTTTTTTCAATCGCTATTTCTACTCTTGTTTCTATTCCACCCGCCTTTGACAGCGAGTCTAGAGCAACAATGAATAGGTCAAGCACAAACGGTCTGTACTTATTCTTCCTCTGATTCTTTGGTCCTAAATTGGTAGAGTGTGATTTGGATCTCGATCTTCACACCATCTGGTAGGAGTCCTTTGGCATACCGACACCTCCTTGTCTCGCTACCGACCCTGAACGGCCTCGGCAGATCCTCTCGGACGAGAGTGAGCCTACAGGATGTGCGGTTTCAGGTCCATCCTCAATCGAAAGCGTTCCACAACCCACTTACGATAACGACAAGCTGCCGGTCTTCAAGTGGCTGGGTCCAGATCCTTTGTCCGTGTCTACTCAGGCTAGCGACATTTTCTTCTTCATGTCAGTGTTCGCTTTCCCCACAGAAGTGCACTGCATAGAGTTTCGACCGGTCCAATTTGACCGGAAGTCTGGCGAAATCACCGAAGGGTATCTGTTCTTCCTCTCCCAATTTGAGACGCCCGCATGGAATGGCCGGTGGGTACGCGAACGATTGCTAGATGTGATCTCCTGGCACGGATTTGACGCAACAGGCACTGGCTTTCAACTGTTTCTATGGCCTTGCATGAAGCTTATTCAATGTTCAATTCAATCGTGACTCTCTCCGCTAGGTGCACTACCCACGACACTGTCCCTGAATCCGGAGTTTTATGTGCATAACATAGTGGGGGTTACAGATCAAGTCAGTCTAGAATACAGGGATTGTTCGCCGACAAGAAAAAAAAACTACTTCTTATGTTGGACTTTTCTTTGAATTACAAAATTATTGTAGTGCTGTATCTAGCTCTACAAAACAGGGAGGATGATCCCAAATGGCTGATCTTCACTCTCCTCTTGCATTATCCAAGAGCCCTGCCAGACTGAGTCGGAAAGGGTAGTTCCAGTCATCAAGTATGCAAGTCAGTCGCTCCCGAGATGATGCTACTGCTCGCTCAAAAAAACGCAGCCGGGCGAGTTGTTTGTCGTGGCGAAGCTGAAGACCATCTCTCTTTGTTCTCAGGTGCGCACCAGCCTCCTCCAAAAGAAGATTCTCCTGCTCTAGCTTCTGGCCGTCGATATGCTTGGACACGCACGACTCCCATAGGCGTCCATATAGTCCGACAAGTCGAGCAGCTGGAAAGGCGAAATTTGGATCGTCGCGTTCAAGATCAGCAAGCACCTTCAGAATGTCTTCAAAGGGCTCGGTGGCCAGGGGGTGTCTGGCTGCTGCGTTTTGTTGGGAGGAGGGCTATGGTCGTCAGCAAAGTATTCAAAGCCGATTTTCGTTTCACTTACCAATGGGACGTGGTCAGAGGTTTCTACTGAGTTGTCTTTCTCGCCAGGGTTGGGCAAGTCACTGGGCTGCCGATCTCCAATTTCCGTCGAGTTGTTTTGCGCTTCCATTTTGTCCGCAAGAGAAAGTCAAGTGTGTTGGCAGTATCATTTCCACCGGTCTTGGTATCTTTTATAGACTATGCAGAAGCAGGTGACTATGCATGGGATCCTAACAGTTGATTGATGCGGTCAACCTTAAGGATCGATTGCTCTCTGTGGAATTTTATCATTTGATTTGATTGAAGGGTGACGCTCAACCAATCGATCAGGGAAAATGATCAAGTCTGACGGCGTTGAGGGTCAGGTATGAACGCTCTTTGAGAT